ATCTTGGCACTGGGCTGCCAGACACCCTGATGGGACGGGCAGTGCTGTGTGCTGCTGTGACTGAGAGTGCAATGAGACATTCACAGAATCCTAAATGCACAGACTGAATAATCAGATGCTGAGGACACTAATGTTAGGAAATGTACATGGTGAACGCAGCTCTGGAACGGCAGCGTGTCTGATTCGGCCACAGCCAGGTTGAAGCAGAACAAGAAGCACTGCCTCTTCTACATTCAGTGCAACACTGCCTGTGGGTATGGTTGGTGTGCTCGTGCAGCTGCTGTCATCAGCACAAAACTGACCAATGGACTGGGGAGGGGGAAAAAAGTAAAGGTTTTCCACATGTGGCAAATAAAACACGAGGTCACAATGCGATGTGGCTCAAAGAAAGATGGAGCACTGCAGATCCTTCACTGGAGAGGCAGGGAGATTCAGAACTGTGAAGCAGCCAGGTGCAGGCCATGCTCGGTGTGGGAAACTCTGATTTACAAAACCCTGCTCAGTAACAGATCCACAACTGATTACCTTTTCTGCCTCACATACCCTTGCAAAAAAGGCAGTGTGCCTGTATGCCTTGCAGAAGAGCCCTATGCAGCACCAAACCTGGAGAGTGAGAATGCACTCTGCATCCACCCCGCAGGAATAGCTGTGGGCACACTGGCACCCTAAAAATAGCCGAGGTGTGGGTGCTGTGCTGACAGCTTTGTAGGGTTTGTGAGTAATGCTGGGGCTGCTAGGGAACTGCAAACAAACTGACCGGGCTGCAGCAGATGCCACAGGAGGCTGTGGGATGACGATAAGGTAACTCTACTCTCTTAATAAGACAAATCTAATTTCTCTGCCATTAATAGAGACAGAGACTTCCTTTACAATGAGGCAGATCTGTCCCACTGTTAAAATCAGTAGGCTACCATTCCCTTTTACAGAGGGATTTGCATGCTCTGATTTAGGTCGAGGGGAGGAATACTGCTCAGAGGCAGGTAGAACTGAAAATCAGCCACAGAAAGTTGGGGCAGTCCTGAGACAAAAGGTCTGTTCTGTGCAGCATGAGGAGAAGTGCAAGCCTTTGAAATCAGATAGCAGCAAACGTCTGCCCAGGTTCACAAAAGCAGCCCAGAACGACGCCAAATGCAAATTTACCCTCTATCTGACTCCTGGATTCGGGCAGCTCCTTCTATAACTAAGGACTGTGAAAGCACACATGAATGCATCAATTACATCCATAGCTAACACTTCCCTCAGAGCCTTCAAAAAACAACCCTCCAATAATTAAAGCAAAACCACCCTCCACCACCACAGCCCCCTCATCTTTGAGGGAAAGCTGCTATTTCAAGACACCTTCATAGCCCAACTTTTGCTTTGGCTGAGATTTGCAATTCGATCAGTGCTGCAACAGCTGATGAACTTCAAGGTAACTGGTGAGCTCCTACATCGACTGCATCTCCCTGCCACGGGGAACACTCCCTGCCCTGGACTGATTTTTTTGCAATGAGACATTCCTGCTTGATGCAACAGTCAGTGTCAGGGCTCACAGAGCTCCATCTCACAGGCATTACATCCCAGGGACAATGGCAAAGTCACAGTTCAATAAGTAAAACGTCTGCAAAGGAGATACCTCTAACAAGCATCTAGAGCAGCTCAGCAGCGCACAGACCGACGCACTGGCACTACCTGCCACTCAGCTATGTTAAGCTCTGCTAATCTTATATGGGGGAAGAAAAGACAACCTGTGATGTTCAGATTTCCGTGCACTGGTTACTCTTAGTACCTAAAAGCTGAAGCCGTGGATGGGGAAACATCAATTGCAACTCTCAAAATGAAAGACACCTATTAATGCCCTTCTGCAGCCTGGCCCAGGATGGTGCTCTGCCTCCATCCTGCAGCCCAGCAGATGAAGGGCTGCCCCAGGCACTGCTCCAGCAGCACTCCTGCACAGTGCCATGTTCTGCAGCCACACCATTTCCCCACTCAGTGCCAAACTGTCTTGCTTCTGTGTTCCGAAATGTGCCCTTGATTTGTGTCATTGTGGCAACCATCTTATTTTTACTTACTTTCTTATTTTCTGAGGAAGTCTCTGACATGCTCACCTAAATTTAAGGCAGCGATACAAAAGCAGGCAGAGGAAACCAGAAAGACAACGCCTGGGAAAACACCCTGGTGACACACAGAGCTGGTGCCATATAAATCCTGACAGAGAGAGAAGAAACGCACTTTAGCAGCTTATTTTTCCAGTGTGAGCACATGGTAGATAATATTCTAAGGCTCAGGTAATTCACAGCAATATCCACACAGGGCTGTTATCTATTCCTTCTACAAGAGATGCCATCTTTGTAATTCCACGTACTTGGGGTGACATCTGTTCTCATTTCTATTACTTTGATGGGTGATGGAGAAACCCATATGAGCAGATCCATAAAGCAGCAACTTGCTGAGCTAAGTACAGCAATAGAAACATTTCTAGAGGAGAGCGACGTGCCAAGGCAAACAAGTTCTGCCATCGTTTCAGCACCACTGAAGGTCAGTTGGGATATAATTACGTCTAATTAGAATTCTCATGAATTGCGTCGTCTTTTCACTTGAAGGCACTTATAGCTCAAAAAAGTATGAATTTTATTTCCTGTTTTCTAAGAATCAAAGAAAGGAGGCATTCTGACCTTGGATTCAGATGTGAATCATCCTAAAAGAAAAGAAGCATGTCATTGTTAGAAGGAAAAGGAAGAGCTCTGTGCAACCACCAACACCCAGCTCTTCCCTCCTGCTTTGCTGCTCCTTTCTTCCTGTTCAGTAACGTTGTTGGTTTTTTTTAAAGCATTATTCCTCTTTCTTTTTTCTCCTTCTCATAGTTACATAACCCTTCTGTCTCCCTTTTTGCTTTAGCACCCTATTTTAGTCCTCTCTATCTTCAGAGCTGCCCGCCTGCTGTTCTTCCACGTAAGATGTTGGTATTTCTCCCTGACGTTACTGCTAGAAACGGAAATCCAGTTTTCTGCTGAAGAATTCCTCTTCATTTCATCCCACAGACTGGAAAAGAAGGCTCTGCTGACCGAGAGAAGCACTACCTCTTAAAAAATGTATGACCTACAAAACAAGCAGAATTTTCCCTTGCATGTCAAAAGTCTGCGTGTAACAGAACTCTTTCAGTGAATGATTTCTAACGTTTTCCTTTGAAAGTTATCAAACTTAAAACAACTTCCTGTCAAAGCTGAAGCCTCAGTTGTGCTCTCGTGCTGTGAACAGTCAGTTTCTTCACTAATAAAAATGGCTGCTTTAATTATTATATGGTACTTCAAGTTCCACCTGTAATGCAGGAGATTCACCTGTCATCAGGGAATTAAGAGGCCACCTCACTTAGCACTATTTAACGTCACGTTTTCTGCTGTAGGTGGGGCAAATCATAAATCCACAGCGCCCTTTTGTTTACCTCCCACTGCACTGTGCTCCTGCATCTGTAGGATGACCTTATCCTTCCATGCGTCATTCACACCTGTAGCCCCACAAAAACACACAGACTGAAATCCCTGACCCACTGAAGTCGTCAGGGCTTTTACAGTGGGCTCCCAAGGACACGAGGAGGTCACAGCACATATGGGGCAAAACGCACCCCGTGGTTACGTTCATTTGGCAGTTCAGCATCTTACTGCTATCCCTGATAAGTGAACAAAATTCAAACCATCTGTTGCTGACATAACCCCAGACAACGTGCTGCCATACCCAGAGCTGTGGGGCTCTGCTATTACAAGACCATGCTGTGTAGCCAGCACACTGCTTCAAGGTCATTTGGTGCAGGTTAAACTCTGCAGTCAAATTAGTTCAAATATAGTTTCACTCTCATCTAACAAGGCACAAATCCATACAGATAGAAGCAGAATATCAACCAAAACCCCACAGCTTGTTCCTTTGCTTTCCAAACCTGAAAACCATTATGTCTAGATCCGCCACTTACTTGCACACATACCAGAGTACAGTTGGAGCAGATGGTTCAAAGATAACTTTCAATCCATCTGCAGTTCAAAACAGTGGTGAACCATTCCAGCTGTTTTCCAGATCAAAAATATTATTGTCATTGTGCTATCGCTGCGTGCTGAGGGTTATGTAACAAAAATGCACATGTCCCTCTGCCTGGAATGCAATTAATTTCCTCCCTCCCCACTGAGAGTGGTAAGTAACAACTCAGACAGTCTGCATGCTTCAGTTTTAAGCATGGCCAGAGATGCAGCGATGGAATTATTCCCCGTGGTAACCCACAGCTGGTAACACGCCAGCCCTCTGCAGGTCTTAGAAACAGGGTCTATTCTGTTCAGGGAAAAAACAAATATGACTTTCCTGCTTATACACGACCTCTTACTGTCTGCAGCGTACCATGAATGCTTTGTTTCAGCTATTTTAAACATAGATGTTTCTTTATGTTGGAATTCAAAGTATTCGAAATCACTGTGCTAGCTAAAGTAATTGCTTCCGATCCGAAATAGGCCACTGGACTCCCTGTATACTTTGGTATGCAGAAGTGAGGCACTGTACACTATTCACTTTAACATGGTGGCATCATCGTGTCTTAATGTACAAATATCCAAATATCATGCATTAGGTTAAGTGAAGAGTCCATAATGCAATTTGCTTACATATAGAGAACACCCAAAACTCCTTTGCTTAAAACAGTGCACTTAAAACAAGTTTCCTCAGTGCAATATTTTCTGTAATACGCCCTTCATCTCTGTGAGTGCAGCTAATCCAGAGATATTTACATCTGAACTATACGACATTCAGGAGAGGAACTGTCTGTCTATAAAACGTTTGTGCCGTGCTCAACATCCTTCAGTTGTTACTGTGCTATACATAAAACGAGGTGAAAGGGTGTCAACTGAAAAGAAGCTTTAGCTTATTACTTAACTGCAGCAGTTTCCTTTAATGCCTTATTTCTTGGGTCAGCTTGCTCAGGATTGCTGGCTTGGTTTACAGCTTGTTTCTGCACGGAGCACCTGCAGTGCTGCCAGTGGCCTTACCTGGTTAAATAGGCCAGAGCCAGTTCAGATCCTGACAGCTTCTTGGGTTCTGCTTTCTTAGTAGAGATTCCAGCTTCCCTCATCAGCTTTTTTTCTTCTTTCTTGCGCTCCTTTTTCAATTTTCTTTCCAATTTCCTCCTTTCCTCTGGTGTAAGATCTTCCTCTTCATCTGCTGCCTGAAACAATAAACATTTAAATAAAGCGATCCTGTTTCTATAGGAAGGTGAACAAGACATTCACAAATGCAACTGAAGGGCACAGTTAATATTTTAACCCAGCAGCTTCAAGCTTCATACTTTTACCATACACCAAACTACGAAGCTTCCACACTGTTCAGCTCACATAACTGTAAATGCTGCAGTCTGCAGAAGTCAGCAGAGGCCTTTTCTGTCCTCTGTAGATGAGAGCACTGAGCTCAGCAGTACAGCAATCAGAGCAAGTACCTCCTCTGCTCGGCATTAAACATCATTTCCAAGATTTGTTGTGCTGTTTGTGCTCTCATAGCAAGGGATATGTGCAGCAGAGGCTGTTCACAGCGGAGGGAGGGTATGGAATTTTTTAGCACATACACACGTATATGGGAACAGTGCTCCCTTAAGACTGGGACTGGAAGATCACACTGTCCTGGACTGAGAAAACCTCTCTCTTCCAACCATGGGCCTGAGTTCCCTTTTGCCAGAAGGGAAGATGTGACATCTACCATCTTCCTACAGCTCTAGGAGATCCTTTGGCAATCCTGGGTAAACATGCACAATCCTGCATAAACAGATCTACAGATATAAACCTCAAGGTTGGAACTTCTACACACTTTCAGACAAAACAGTTCTTAATTCATCTTGAAAGCCCAATCACTAAAAATTTACGCAGAACTATACTGAAAACGAAAATGTTTCACGTGCAGCAGAGGAGCATTCAGCAAATACACTGAGTTGATCAGGGTAAGATCACGCAGTGTAGAAATAAAGAGCTGCTCCACAACAAGCCGAGGCATACCCCAGTGATTCCCAGCACTGCTCATTCATCTTTCCAGGCAGCAGTCCCTCTGACTTGTTAAGTACCAACTGGAAGCATGAAAAATTCCAGCTGAATCGCTGTTACTCAACGTTCCCCCGTGATTTCCACATCTCAGTACATTTTGTTTTCCTGTCTGAACACTCTGCAGTCCAAAACCAGCAGTGTCTGTGCTTCCTCTCCTCAGTGACGCTCCAGGATAAATGTCAGATCCACCGGGCCTTCAGATCTATCAGGTGTTCTGAGATCTAGCCTTTGCAGGGCTCTGTGGTTACCTTAGACAGACCTCCAGGACAATGCAGAGAAAGCATCTCAGGAAGCAGTGAGGAATTGGACACAGCCAAACCACCTCTGCTGTGCAACTTCTCAGATACAACTGAGCAACAACGACAACAACAAAGCCATCAAGTTTTGCAAATGAGACTCTTACTCTCGGTTTGAAAGTTTCCAAGATGAAGAGCAAAGGGATGGCGCTAATTCCCAGCTTACATGATCATCGTAGAATCATAGAATGGCCTGGGTTAAAAAGGACCTCAAAAATCACCTACTTTCAACCCCCCCTACTACGTGCAAGGTCACCAACCATCAGACCAGGCTGCCCAGAGCCACATCCAGCCTGATAGTTACAGAGCTCACACAGTCCCAAACAGAAGTGTGATGCCTTTGCTGTGGTTTAAGGACCCAATGCTTCCCAAGCATGAGCACCAAGCACTCCCCAGCTGCTAAGCAGTGTTACTGCTGCTGACCTGCAAAGCAAAGGCCAGGTAAACAGGGCAGCACCTGAATGCAGTCTGATCTGGCAAAGGCACCTGCCGAGCACCACAGTTGGTTCAGTGTTAATTCCTGCATCAGCTAAGCCTACTTTGACCCACCCTTTCAACTCTGTGTTTTCAAAGACCAAATAAGGATGCGAAAGTGGAGGTCAGAATAAAAGGCAGTAAAGAGGATTTGCTTTTTTGTTTGGTTTAAAATGCTTTTAATTTCTTGTTATGGAAAGCCAGCATTCACCCCCCCAAAAAAAACAATGCATGTTGCATTTGCCTGGATAACAATTCATACCTCAAATAACATCTTGGAGAAGGTAGGTATGTAACTGTTCTGCAGGAAGCAACAGTTTCATTGGAAAAGCCACGGTGGTACTCACTGAAATAACAGCCCCACCACAGCCCTGAGCACCGAGGGTGGTCGTGCATGAAGTGTTTGTGAAAGATGACTGCAGCAGCTGTCCGACAGACGACACACTACGCTTAATCTTCCTTTAAAAATAACGTAATGAATTTGTTTACTTTTCTGCAAGCCATGAAGCTTTCAAATAAAGTGCCCGTGGCACATCATTAGAGCTGCTCTGATAAAGAGGCCTCCGCTGCCTTGGACTTACAGTAACTGCTATCTCTGTACCTTCCCCTCCCCCACACATTCCTCACATTATCAAAAAGCTTTTTATCCCTCTCCCGACTGCTCCATTAAAAACAAAACAAGTTGCTCCCTCTCCATAAGTGGGTCCCAACATAAATACCAGGCCCTCACAACGCTTGTTTCCAGCCTAACAATTTGGGCACTGTGGGCTATCTGAAACACGAGCATTGTTCTCCCTTCGGGGCTGGAACCTTTCCAGGGCTGAACGAGTGAGGATTTACAGCTTAAGGTACCCTTCCCATAGCACATACCATCATTTGGTCCAACCAAAATGGGACTCGTGAGCTCCTGTTGGGAGTTCCCAGCACGCGTCCTGCAGTTTGCTCAGACATCTCTTGTTGCAGATGCACTCTGATCCTTGATTAGCACTGCGTACCACAGTCTGTCCTTGACTGGTTTTTAACGTGAAAACCTCAAGTCTCAGTTGGTTCATTAAATGTATGCGTTTGGGAGCACATTCTCCATTGAAGTTAGTTTTACCATAATTATAAAAGCAATCATAAAACGAACACAACACAGCACAACAGAAACCAATCTTCCCCAGAATGTGGGACTCAAAAGAAAGCAAACCCAAAGCTTGCCAGGAAATGGAAAGCCTCCCAGCTTTTCCTTCAACTTAAACGCCCTCTGCTATGGAACTCTACTGATGCATCTCTCCTTCAAGTCAGAAGCATTATTTTTTCATCTTGCTTTCCCTGTCCCATTAGCACGACTGCTGTTCTGGAAGATGCGTGCAAAGTTTGTGAGCCATTCAGATTCCAACTCTTAGCAATAGCTCATTATTTAAATTAAAAGCAACACGAAGCAAAACTAACAGCAACCCAAACGCTAAACCCAAAAACCAACAGGGGACTCCATTGTGCCGAGGCCATAAATATCCCACGTTGTCTCCTTCTATATTTATAACGTGACACCGCAATTTGTAGCGCTGCAATTTATCCTCACTGCACCATTGTAAAGGCCCTGTCTGAGCGTGCCATACACTTGTTTATTGACGTGATAAATTTAAAACACGTGCGTACGAAAAACCACAACGCCTGCTTATGTGCAAAGCCTGCAGAGAGCTCCCGCAGCACCTTGGGCCGTGGGCTCATTAGGTCTCCATCTCCACGAGGTCAGGCCAGGTCAGCACACTTGAATGAGTGGCACTGAGAGGAGAGGCAGCGCTCTGGCATGATTAAGGAGGTGGGAGCCTTCCATTGGAAGTTTTCCAGAAGGCCTGAAAAGGGGCTGTAAAAGGGGGATTGCCATTGGGTGCCATGTTTTGAAAAGGACCCTCGGATCTTTAGCTTATGTGCTCAGAAAAATCACTGTCGTACTTCTGAGGGAAAGAAGACATGAGCTCAGACGTCTTCAAGCAGATTGCAAGGGTTCATGCCACACTACATCGCCCTGCATGCGAAGGACTGGGACTGCCAATAGAGCCTTTCATCAGTGCCAGCCTCAAAATTTCCAATTTGCATGTAGGCTTTATAATACAGAATAAATAAATAATCTGAGACATCTGACTCAAAAACTCCACAGGCCTCAGCTGTGGCCGTTTTAGAGATCAGTTAACACTTTCCATTGTTATTTGTTATCTGAAAATATCGCATATAAATACTTTACAGGTTGACTTTAGCAATGAGTTTACCTCTCATAAAGGGGGAACCACTTCAAACTGAAGTGAGCAGGGGATGTAGCAGTGTCACGCAGAGGGTGGTGAGGCACACGAACAGGTTGCCCAAGGAGGCTGTGGATGCCCCATCCCTGGAGGCATTCAAGGTCAGGCTGGATGTGGCTCTGGGCAGCCTGGTCTGCTGGTTGGTGACCCTGCACAGCAAAGAGGTTGAAATTTTTGAGGTCCTTTTCAACTCAAGCCATTCTATGATTCGATGATTGATTAAGCAATCTTGCTAAGCAGTTCCAAACTGAGAATACCAACCCTTACAGTGAGAGGGACTGGAAAAGCAGAGGTGATGGAAGAGGAAACCTGGCAGAGGCGACAGGAAGAGGGCTGGAGAAAGGAAGGAAACCGAAGTGACTGTTAGCACCAATGAGCCCAGTTCCTCCCAAAGTCAGAGAGCTGCTATCTCCTTCTGCCAGCACAGCAGCAAAGCAAGCAACATCAGAAATACGGGGGAATCAATTTTAGCATGCCCGACAGTGACAAATAAGGCTTATAAAGAAGGCTTCACGTTTGTGAACTCCAAAGAGAAAGAAGGTGGAGCGGGGATACAGCTCGCTGCACAGTAGCAGCACTGTGTCGCTCTGTTTGCTCATTAAGCCGATGTTATTTCATAACCTTTAACATAGAGCAATCTCAAAGTGGCTTTGTTTGCTGCCCAGGACGACTGGCCCCTCACACAACAGGCTCTGCCTACCTCCTGCCCCTGTGTGCCCTGCCTATCATCCCAGCACACAAAACGTTTCTGCCATACACAACGCACACGGCCACCCCCAGATCCACTGCAAAAAGCAGAATCTATAACCACGGATCAAAACCTGCAAAGAAGAAAAGCTGGCAAATCCTTCGATGCAAGGTTTGTAAAAGAAAGGCTGACAAATGATTTACTCTTTGAGGCTTGCCAAAGAGCCGCACCGCAACCGCAGCTATAGAACTGACACTAAATAGTTCACAGTCACACTGGATTTAAATAACTATGTTCTATCATTTAGCACCTTGTGAAAATAAAGGGCATACAACATTTCACTGCCACGCAGAAAGCAAGCTTTGATTCAAAGTAAATGGCTGTGGAAATACATTGCCTTATATCTCCTCTGTGGACTTACAGAGGGAGATTTTTTTTAATTACATATCGTACAAAGAAATAATTAACATTTTTCATGAAAGCCAGCTGTTGTTGACATCTCAGCTCTTGGCAACAGAAACGCTGGGAATACATTACACTGAGTTGATTTGGAAAGGTTTGTATGGATGCAACCCAGGCAGAAAAGCCTCAAACAAGTTCTGCAGGAAGCCAGACTTAAATAAGAACAAGCTTTTTATCTTCCTGATCCAGGAAAGGGTTTTTTTAGCAGTTGTGTCAATGTAAAGAGCAAAACAAACATGTCCTTACATACACAGGCACGGCAATCGGGGGCACTGGAATTTGCAGCTGTCATTTGCAATGGGTGCACCTTGAGATCAGACAATGAGCAGCGATGTGATCTGTACGTGTTGCACAGACCTACACCCCATTCTGAAGAGCACATCAAGTGTAATCATTAGGCACTGCTGAATAAGAAGAAATCCAGCTATTTACTAATTTAAATGAAAGCATTTACAGGCACGCAGAGCAATAAGCCTTACAAAAGGAGCTTGTTGCGTTCCACTTTATAGATTGTTTGCTCCTGTAAAGTACATACTGTAACAGATGAAGCTCGAAAGCATAAATTAGGACCACATTCTAGTTCTCATTTTTCTCCACCAGTATCAGAGTCCTAAATGCAACACAAATATTTAAGACAACGGCACGACTGCAGCTCAGGGAATGCAGTTCTGCTTCATTTGCAACTCCAGCACTGCCAGGAATGTTTGAATATTTGCAGAAGGATTTTGCTTACTAAGGCTGAGAACCCTTAATTAAACCACATTCACCAATCGGGGCAAGAGAGAAATGAGAAAAAGGGGAAAACAAAAAAGGAACCCTCGGGAAGCATTTGTATCCACATCCCCGCGGCTCACCCGCAGCCCCCGCAGCCAGCAGTGCACGGGGGGATTTTCACAAGCAGATGAGGCTGTCTCAGCAGCCAGGCTGCTATCACACCATCGTCCCCCCCGGGTGCTGACGGCCCCTCCCGGCTCTATCTGGCTGTGGACTCAGCGAAGGTAGAGGCAGAGAAGCTGTTTTGAAATCAGTGCTGGAGGGGGGGGGGGGAGGGAAACAACAACAACAAAAAAACACACAACCAAAAAAACCCAACAAACCACGAGCTCCATCTCCTCCAATGAAAGAGGTACCACAGGGTGTAGGCAGGTTGCCAGGCGCGCTCGGCAGCGTGACCGCACTGCATTGAGTTTCTTTAATGAAAGCCAGGAAAGAACACATTACACAGTGTTTCTTCTGCGAGCTCGCTAGCCTCCAGTGATTGAAATCAATAAAAACAGTCGGCAAGGGGCCCAGTGGGGGAAGAGAGAAACCTCCACTACGGCATTCAGTTTGCTTTGCACTTTCTCCCTCCCCCCTGAAGTTAAACTCGGATCACCATGACGAGCTGCTCGGCTCCCAGCGCTCGCACCGGGCTTTGAGGGCAGGGAGCGCCTCGGCTCCTGCCGCCCTGCTCACAGAACCACGGCGTTGTGTGCATACCGAATCCCTCCCGGAGAAGTTCACCGGACAAGTGCACTGCCCCGCACCCAGAAGGGGAAAGCCCTGCAGGAGGATGGTAGGGGAGCACGGGGAAGAAGGAGCCATCTGAGCCAGCGGGAGCCCGCGTCCTGGTGAGGATGCCGAGCCAGGGGACCTGCGGATCTGCTGGCAGCCAGCAGCCCAGCTCACAGCGACCTGCACCGTAGGGCAGCCCAGCGCTCAGCAGCACATCAGCGCAGAGCCAGGTAAGCAGGAGCCACGTTTAACCCTTCTCCGCTTTGCGCCCGGTATCGGACCGGGATCTCCGCACCCCGCGTCCCTCCTGGTCCCCTCCCAGGTGTGCCGGCGCTAAACTCGTCCTGCCGGAAAGTTGCGTGGGGCCGCTGATCCTCGCTGAGCTACAAAACGCGCACAAAAGCCCTTTGTTTGCTAGTTTTGGGTCGGATTTGCTCGCTGACAAGGTGGTGCGGGGCCATTGCGTAACCCCCGCGCTGGAGCACAGCCCTGGGCTGCTCGCAGCGATGGGACGCAGCCGCGCTGAGGCTGCCAGTAATGAATTTCTAATGGGGTCCATACTTATCTTTGTTATTTATGTATTTTAATCGCCATAGCAGCCACACACTCCATACTTGCACCGAGCTCAATGTGCTGGTTTGTACCATGAAATACAACTACTTGCATGCACGTGGGTTTCTTGGGTTATTATATTGACAAAGAGTTTGTAACCATCCTTTAATACAGCCAAAGGGGCTTTGGGGCACACTGTCCAGGAACGATCAACATAGGTTTACTCAAACCTTTTTTATCCTACCACGAATTCAGTGCACGCTGTTTTCCTATAGACTACCCCTATAAAAATGGGAAAGATGCAGATCATGACTGTGGACCCCCCAGTCCTTCACAAGTTTTTGGTCAGCTTTAAATAACATAATCTACCTAGATACCGGCCAGGCATGGAAGGTGATATCAAAACTTGCCTTTTGCTGGGTCAGCAAAAATGATGGTGGCTCCAACTCTTTCCCAGCGATGGCAGGAGCTCAGTGGGATGGCCGAGCAGCTGGAACCTGCACAGCCTCCATCCCATGAGGGCAGGCACAAGGTCTGACAGGCTGACAGCCCTCCCCATGCCTCCCACTGCAGTGCCCCAAGGCAGGGCGTAAGGGGAGCTCAGCAAGTGCATCTGTATGGGGGCAGGTGCAGCTCTGCTTCTTCCCTGCAAAACAGCCTTTCAGGGGTGCCTGGATTTTACATGGAAATGTAAATGAGGGCCATGCTTTAAAGTGATGTAGAGAACATCTATGTGACTAGGTCTTGTTTCTGCAGAGAGGTTTGCTGAAACTTCTTAAAGCACAAACGTTGCGGAAGCAATCCTTAAACACCAAGAAGCTTTGCAACTGATTTTATCAGTCCAGTTTTGTACTCTTTGCGAAAAACAGTCAAAAAAATTACAGATCTAAGAAAACGAAGAACCAGAAAAACCCAAAGTAGCGATTCAGAAGAGAAAATGGTCCCTTCTGACTTTTGGGGCATACCCACAGGCCCACCATTCGCTGTACTGTCACAGCATTCAGAATCCCATCAGTGATCTGTCTGTCCCTGCAGAGCCCTTGCAGAAATCCCAGCACCCGTTTGAGGCTTCAGAGCAATCACATCCCCCCAACCTGCAGGACTGTTTTCCATTGCTCTCAAGGCTAAATTTATCCTTATGCAGTGGAAGCCACTGAAGTCTTTTCTTAAAATCTCAAAAAAGAAAAGCTCGGGTGGGACAGACAATGCACATCATTCAAGTTCTAATGATATTCCTCCCCAACAGTCTGCCAGCAGAATACATACACATCATCTTTACAGCAGAGCGCAGGGGAATGTGTTGATAGCTGTATGTTTCAGAAGCAAAGTGGTCTGAGATTCCCTCATGCTGTTAACAGAACGTGTTCTTTTCAAGCACACAACAGAGAAAAAAAGCAGCATGCATTCTCTTAGAAGCAGCTTGAAGCAAACACAGGTACTGTAGCTGCCATACCACAGAGCAAGATTTGTCCACATTTTTCAGTTGCCCAGTGGCATTTAAGCAGATTCACTGAGCAGTGACCCAGTCTTTGAAACCCTTCCTTTACACTATGGAGACTGGGAAGAACCCCGTGTTGCTTCTTGAGCTGGATGCAACAAAATAGGACCAGTGGGTGTCTTTCCCACATTTCTACTAGAATCATAGAATTAGAGCTAGCATTGATAACCTCTTATCATGAGAAGCACTTCGCCCTCAGCTGTCTGCAATATGGTCAAGAGATCCTAATAACACATGACAGTTATCCATACAACAAAACACACTGGTAAAAGAGCTTTTTGAAAGCAGCATATAAGATCATGCAATCATCACCAAAGTAGGTGAAATACTTTCATAGGCACAAGGACAAACGCTTCGTTTTTATCTCTCCTCTCTACATCTTAATGAAAGGAGAGGTCTGGAATTCTACGAAACGATTTGAATGACTCTTCCAAAGAGGCTGAAATTCAACAATGATGACAACAACAAAGTGCAGCTCTTGGGATGTGCTGGGCTCCAGGGTAAGCAGTCCTGGGCGAAACATAATACTTGTGTCTGCACTGGGAAAAAGAGAGTTTCCATCCCTTTTGAACCAGCATGATCTGATACCTCTAGAATACTGCAAAGCTTTCAGATATCTCCTTTCTTAATTACACCAGTGGATTGTGTTGACAGTGCTGGAGTCATTCAGTCGAGTATATTTAGTCTGCTCCATTTCAAGTGACAGCTTCCCTGTGATGTACCTATCCTGGCCAAAAAAATGGAACGTAACTAAATATACAGTTGAAAAGGTGCATTTCCTCCCTGATCTACAGGAAAGACCAGTGAAACTGAAGATTAATTCTTAAATGAAAAACAGATGTGTATTGATCCCTAAGGAAGGCAGTTTACCTTATAATTCCAATAGGTTTCACTAAGGAAGAAAATTTTTGTTATAGGCAAAACACCTCCACCATCAACAGCTTCACTTCCCAATTCCTGTGAAATAATTATTCCTGCAAAATATGTATAATTTCCATGAATAGACCACCTGCGTGAACCTGTTTGAAGAAAGAAGTGCTGTAAAGCTGCATTCATACCTCCTGCACAGCTCCATTCCCATTGAACATTCCAATCCAAGTTTGGTCTCAAAGAGAAAGGGAAAGGAAGGATGTTTCCAGGAGACAGCACACACTGCAGCACCTCGCCTTCCTCCCGGCCTGCCTGCTGCCCTCCCACCCACAATCACACCCTGGTTTGCTCACCTAGCTCCATCACCTGCCCTTGATGCAGCCCAGGATACAACTGGCCCCCTGGGCTGTGAGCACACCTTGCTGGCTCACGTCGAGTCCTTCATCAGCCCAACCTGTTCTGGCTGACCAAACACAGCTGGTATGAAGCAAGAACCAGAACTCATGACTTGCCAGCTTGCCGTGGTCTCCTCAGAGCTCCTTAAGAAAACTCCATCCACAGCTTGCTCGTTCTTAACGTCTCTGACATTAAAGTGCAATCTCTTCCTGAATCCTATTTAGCAACATTGCCCTTAATTCTGTTGTGAGTTTTTATAGCATCATGTGTGCCTTCGTTATGGAGAAGGAGCAGAAAATTGGAAAACAATTATAATTTAAGACCCTACATTAAAACCTGCTGACTGTTTAGTAGAAAAACTCCACAAAAGCTGTTTGTGTTTCCACGCTCCATACTAAAGAGTGAATGCAGCACAAAACAAGTTGTGGTTGCTTTGAAATTAAGACAGCTAGCAAGTTATCCTACAATAACATTTGATTCATCTACATTTCAGTAACAACCAACTTACACACGCTTATAAGGGTAACACTATGATTTATGTGAACTGAATTTATAGCTCACTTTGGTTTTACACTGCTGTACTTTCCTATTGAAAATTAAGCTGAATATCAAGATGTTCCCTAAAATGCATTAATAAAATTGCAATTGCTAAATTGAAAGAAAATCTGCTTAGGCAAAGAGGTACTCCCTTCTTCCCTTCTGTTTTTTAAGCCATCTTTAGAGATCAGTATTTTCCCTTGGAATACTGGGAGCAAAAACCATACTGGAAGGTTGCAAGGTAGCACTGGTAGTATTGGCTTCCTCTCAACGAACCGTGACAAAAATATTTCACTTCTCACATCTTCACAAATCCCCTGCATGAACTCTGCATTTACTTACAGCTTCCACAAAATCTGCCACTGACTTCTCTTAACTGACTCACAAAATTCCACGCCAGCCTGGGATTGCCGACCTCCCTTCCACCCTACATGAGCGTGATGTGCAAATCCATGATCGGTTCCAGCTTTGCTTTTCCTGCCTTGGAAAGTGTTTACAGCATCATTCCATTTTTCTGTACCTATACACTCAGACCTTACTATAATTAGCTTTGGGATACAACTGGAAACAAAAGATAATATTCTGATTCATGAAATGCTGTCATGGCAGGAAGCATGGTTCACGTTGGCAGTTTTAAGGCAAACTCCACAACTTGCCCAAAGCAACAAATACAGAGCAGAGGTGGAACTCCTCACCTTCAAGTTGCCTAACTTTCAGGCAAACGTCCAGCCAGAAAAATGTATTACAGGATGACGTTCTCTCCTTCCATACAGTGCATCTTTAGACAAAAAAATCAAACATTCCCAAACTATTTTGCTTTGTATACCTTTTTGCAAGCCAGCTCTGCTGCAGGTTACTGCAGCTGCCCCAGCTGGCTGCGCTCACACAGCCCCAGTGCACCTCCACCCAGCAAACCCTGCAGCAGAGAAAGCCTAAAGAACAGCACGAAGCCGCTCAGGCAACACTCTTCTACATCTGCAATGGAATTTTGTAATTACTCTGAAGGTTCCTCCTGCTCCAAAGGAGGCCGCGGGGCTGCAGGGATGGCCGCCTTCTATCCAAAGCGGCACGGCGCTACGAACTGGAGAACACAAACGTCACACAAAATGAAGAGAAAAATATGAACTGTGTACATGAGGCCCTCACTGACAGAACATATAGAATGTTCCTCAGCTGACAGCTTTATAACTCTAACTGGTTCTGCAAATGAAATCCAAACAAAAGAGCGGAGATGTTCTCTAAATCACTCAGCAATTGCTGTTTAGCAAAACCAGCAACCACGAGCTCCAGCAAACAAAAAGAGGTACTTTACGTGACCTTAGTGAATGGGAAAAAAATGTCAGGATTCTTTCTTTCAGCTCTATTTTTCTATATTCTTGAACCTATACACAAATATTGCATGACCAGCAATCAATCACATCGACTTTTTATACGTTGAGAGAAGTCAGATTCGGAGTGATAAAGCGAGTTCAGGCAGAGGGCACATGTTAAGCAGCTGTGAGTCCATTTAAGCTGGCTGTACACCCAAGCACTTAATGTCATTACCCTGAGCTCTGATTTCTTCCTTTCCCGCCTTACACTGAAATATCCATATTATATTCTAATAGGAATCATTAACTTACTGGAGGAAATATAGTCACGCAGTGACAGCAGCAGCCCAAACAATATGCTTGTAAATTAGATGTGATGTATTTTGCTTACAGTAAAAGATTATACAGCCACCTTCTCTGTTCTGTCTCTAAACAGAGCTTCTTGGTGAACAACAGGATCTCAGGTAATAGTTTCAGGAATGATTTAAGCCACCATAAGGTGGTCCTGCTGCCAAAAGACACGCTCTGTGCCCTCCTGCCTCTCCCCCTAATTGGCCCCAGTATTCGTACAGGCTGTAAACTCTTCTGAGTTCAAACAACCTCCCCATTCCATGACCAAACCACGACCAAACCATGACACCCACCAAAAGCTGCTTCACACCCAAGTCTGGGAATGGCCGTGGCATAAAGGAGGTGATGTAAAGGGGGGAATCGTGTGGCTGGACAGAACATGGGATCACTTCTGCACTCTCTGCTTAAGACACCATTCCTTGAGAGAAGCAGAAGCGTAAAATATTTAATGTTGCCATGCATATCCTTCCTTTTAAGCACAAGGAAGTGATGACTTTTTGCTTGCCAACCCAAATAATCACAGATCTTTTGGCATTCAAATTCAAAACAAGAATCGGTCTATCACGAATCCAATTCGACTCTTCTCTCCTTACCCTTGCAATTGCATTTCAGTGGGTGAACATTTGCAACAGGAATGGAACAACAAGGATGGAACAACAAGGATGGAACAACAAGGATCAAATGCTTTTGCTACAACTGCATTTTGAAAAAGCAATTTTTTTAGTAGACATAAGCAAGTAAATTCAAGCATTAACAACAGATAACCAATATAGCTATCTGTAGGTTTTTAGGCATGCGGATTTCCCCTTCTCACAACACTGAAATTATTCCACACAAGGTGAGTCCCTCCGTGCTCCCAGCCCTGCTGGGTGAGCTGCTTGCTCCGTTCTTCCCTCTGTTCAGATGTGCTCAGGCTCTTGGAGCCGTTACTCCCCAGCTCGGCACACACCACGACTTCCTGCCATCCAGAGCTCCAAACCACATCCAGGAAACAAACAGCAACGGAAGCAGACAGACTCCAATGGGAGCTGTCAGGTTTTTAGCCACTTGAATTTATAGCAGGCACTGGTTAGCTTCTGCACTGTATGCTGCATGAAAAAAATGCCTCACGTTACCAGTGTTATAAAGCCTTCCCAAGTGAAACTACTCAAATTCAAACATACCTGTGCACTATTTCAATGTGCGTGCAGCCAATAAGTGATGAGATTCATCCCAGTTGCAAAAGCATTTTGTTTTCATCAGAGGGCTCTTTCATTTTGACCCAAGTACTGAGAGTCATTGCAATAGGACCAATGACACAGAAAAGCATTCAGGTACAAAACATTTGATTCTTTGAACATCAGGTTAATTTGTTTTATAAACTTAAACCAATATTTGAAGGGTTGAACAAATATTTGAAACGCTTTGGGCTAGTTACCTATTTAGAAAGAGAACAAATTGTTTCAAAAAGACTTTTTGCCCCTCAGGCAACACAGAGGGGAATTCAGACCGAGCTCATCACACCCTAAGGACATTCAGCTGGTCTGAGCCAGATCCTTCCAACAGGTTGTTGTGAAGATGCCTGATAGGGTGAAATGAAATGCTTTAGGAACAGAAGTGCTCTAACAGGGAGGAACAGGTATGCCAAAATATGTAAAATATTACGTTTAAAAGTAAAACACATCGTGGAGGGGAAAGGAATACACACCAGTAGCAATACTCGTGTTAAATCTGTGCAAAATTTATGACCCAAAAAGAAAGCACAATGGCAAAAACCACAGCCTGCCTTCTAAATAAAATCACTGCCTTCAGTCCCACACTGAGGGCTGTCGGAAACATCACCTATTTCAAAGTGCGTATGGGGCTCTAAAGGCTTCTGAAATTCATCTCCCATAGTGAAAGCCTTACTATTTCCTGGTTTCATTTTAGATTTTTTAGAATGAGGTTGCATTTGGATGACAGTCAAAGCAGGCTGAATAGTTCTTGTGCTGCAACAGGGTCAGATAGAAGTCATGTCCGTATGCCTGCCAAAGCGGTACGCAGCCTGTGTCCTTCACCAAGTTCAGCAGTTAAAGCAGGACACAAGCTGTAGGGTTTCAGATCTACCATAGAATCACAGAATGGCCTGGGTTGCAAAGGACCACAGCGTTCATCCACTTCCAACCCCCTGCTGTGTGCAGGTCGCCAACCAGCAGCCCAGGCTGCCCAGAGCCACATCCAGCCTGGCCCTGAATGCTTGCAAGGATGGGGCATCCACAGCCTCCTTGGGCAACCTGTGCCAGTGCCTCACCACCCTGTGTGAAAAACTTCCTCCTAATATCCAAGCTAAAGCTCCCCTGTCTCAGTTTAAAGCCATTCTCCCTTGTCTTATCACCATCCACCCTCACACACAGCCATTCCCAGTCCTGTTTATGAGCTCCCTTCAAATACTGGAAGGCCACAACGCGGTCTCCCCACAGCCTTCTCTTCTCCAAGCTCAACAAGCCCCTCAAGTTCCCTCAACCTTTCCTCATAGGAGAGCTGTTCCAGTCCTCTGATCACCTTAGTGGCCCTCCTCTGGACCGTTCCAAGAGCTCCCTGTCTTTCTTTCTATCTAAGAAACACTTTAAAAGTTAAAGTGAGGGAGATGCCATTGATGAGTTCTGGTTTAGCATATGTTCGGTATATAAAGTTATTTGAGTGCTGTACAATAAATTACATGGCAACGTACGTTTTCAACACGTTTGGAAGCTCAGTCATAAAAACAGTCTGATTTTGGCTAACGTGCAAAAAATCTACATGCAACAAATGCTGCAAAGGAGAAGCCACTAAAACCACTAAGAAGATGACAAGTTTTGCAGCATTTCCGTGGCTCTTTCTCCAGACTGATAACCAGAATTTAAACAAAGGAGGCTGCAAAACACCTCGCATACATACAAAAAGAGCCTTTAGTCTTCAGTCCTTTTAGCTGCGAAATCAAACGTGCCTAAATGGCACGCAATAAGAAAGCTTCATCACGGAAACAACCTGAAGTGACTTGCAAAACAGACTGTCCAGAAAGCACTGAGTGAGACAAACAGGGCTCTGAGAGCCACTGCTGAGATGTTCTAAGGATGTGAGAACGGCAAACAAAAATTCTTGATGATAAAGAATGAATTCTAACATTTAAAGGGCCAAGTAAAGAGACAGATGGCACTCTTTGTCAGACAAACCACGCTGATGGGTGCTGGGAGCTGAGAATGTTGTCACTTCTTCTGGACAATGAAACAAAACCACAGAAACCAACAGGAGCAGCAGCCAACTCTTACCACCCTATTTGGGCATTATGGGCCTATAAATACACACGTAGCATCTAAACAAGGGAAGGTTTTTCATTCCCTTGTAAGAAAATGATTAGCTGTAGCACACTAATAACACACTCGGAAATACCGAGGGACAAGCATCAGTTTTCATGTCCTAATGCCAGAATGTGACTCGGCGCTGCGCTGGTACGGCTGCCATAAATGTGCAACAAGCATGAGCAGCACACGCTGACACACAGCAATCTTTTGCAGCACTGAAAGCTCCGTTTATGTCACGAAGAGAGGAACACAGAGTCACAGCAAAAGCATTTCACGAGAAAAACCCCTTGATTTCATCCAATCTAAAGATTTCATCTAATTTAAAGAGAGAAAGAAGCAATTTGGGCCAATGTGATACAGCGTCACGGCTCTGTTCGTCCACTAAAGCTTGTAGCACTGCCTATCATTCGGCTGCACAAGGATATTATCTAGCAGTTTTATAATTGAGATATTATTTACTACTGGAAATGATTTAAAGTAGGACAAGGATTACATTGAGCATTATCAAACGGGGCCTCAGAGTTATGATTTCTAGGCACAGGCAGGAATCGAGTAGCAAGGCAAAGTTTAAGAAAACAGTGATACTCTTGTGTATTAACAGAAGGCCTCTTCTGCTCTGTAATGCACTACCCAAGACCATTTCCTTCCTTAGTATTAAAATTCTAATCAGCCTTCATTTCACCTAGAGAAATGTATGACCCAGGCAAAGCTCTGTGTATAGCTTTGGAAACAAACAGCCCTGGAATGTGAGACCTGGTGTACTACAAACCCTTAATTCAACTGTCATCATCTGTACGTGCACAAATAGGGAATATTAAAGACACGCCAAGTGCCACTCTGTGTAACACAGTGCAAATGCCTTTATTTCTAAAGTAGCTGTATTAATTACAGATTTGATGTGAAGATGCTAGTTATCAGCACTGAGGAAACTGGGCCCACTGCAGAGAAAAGGAGAATGGGCAGCTGTGAGAGGTACAGGCACTGCACAAAACCTTCATACATTTGTGCTTTCTGGAGCTCTGCAAGGAAAACCAGGGAAATGCCAGCAGGGCAGAACTACACGTGAAATGGTGAAGTCTTCAAACAAAATATGAAACACCAAGCTCAGGCTTCAAAGCACAGCAGTGAATCTGGATTGCTACAGGTCTGAAACACTCACCTGGCCTTCATGCCTCTCCATAGCTTTAGCATATTTATGTCAAAACAAAGGGGTGGGCCAGTGAAACCTGTTTGCAGCAATATCGTGCTGCACCACTTCCACCTCGCTGTGAAATCCACTTCTTCTGCTCGGTGTAACAACACTCAACACTCCTCCCTTTGGTGCTTTTCCATTCAGAGCAGTGCAGGACGCTCCATCCCATCTGCCTCCCTCTTGCAGTCCTCACCTCTACTGGTGCTGTGTACCAATGCCAGACACAAAGCCAGCTCTCTCCTCTGACATTTTTAAATCACCCCATCCTTTCTGGAGCTACCTGTTGGGCACAGCACTTCTCCTGCCTGCCTTCCCAGGACTCAGGTGCCCCTAGATAAGGAACAACAAACCAACAAGAAATAACCCCCTGCCCAACTGTGATGTGCCTCCACCTCAGTGGGACAGAGGAAGCTAAGAAGCGTGGGCAAGAAAGAAGAACTGACATGCTTTATGCACGGGAACCAAGAATCAATCAGGACATCGCAGTATTAAAGTTGTTTGCTGGCAGAATTAAGATTTCCATCATACACAAGTCACCTGTAATGCACCAAACCCTGGTGCTGCTATTTGCAGTGCCTGTATATGGATGCAGAGCAGACACACGTGCCTACAATGAAGCACCCACGGCAGCAAGCCTGCTGCTCCAGAGGCTGCAAACCAGTGCCTGGGCTGAGCTCTGCACGCTGTAATCTAGCAGAAAAGCACTGAGAAGCATATCAAGCCAGGCTTGTCAGCCTTAATATTTTCTGTGATCTGAACAGGGCCAGAGAATATGATAAGCATCTTTACAAATCCGGTTGGCTTTCCTTCAGATCCAGAAGCCTGTCTGTAAGCTGCACAAGAACAGGAGCCCACATGAAATCACATTTTGAACAGAGCCAGTCCTGCTCCTCAGCCTCTGTGCTGAACCCTGTCTGCAGCAACACCCCCATCAGCACGTGAAATTGCTCTTACAAGTACTGTTGCAGAGCTACACTCAGCTTCAGAAATACCTCTCTTACTTAAAAATCTTCTGTATTTCTTTTTAAGGTTGTGTTGATGAAGTATTTCCAATGAGTTAAAAATTGTGTCAGCTTTCCTTGCAGATTTCTTTTTTAACCAGGTTGGTAAGTGTTCCCCATTCATCAGTGCAAATCAGCTTCATTTGCTTAGGAGCTCAAACTCAGAGCACACGATGGTATTCTCAAACCAAATACACCACGTTAAAGCAAGGGCAGTTGTGGTTCATCTGAATCATATGGTCAGATTGCAAATCTAAGATGAGGAAATAGAGGTTGTGACACCCCACAGCTGGGACAGCCTTTGGACAGCAGTGTTACATCACGGCCATGGGGCCAGCAGGGCGCTCGCCTGTGTGAAAGTGAAAGATCCCATGAGAACATTAAAAAAAAGGAAAGGTTTTCGTGTCCTCGCCAAACCCCTTCCTTCACTTAATGCTACCGCGGGCTGAGTTTCTTCAGAGCAAATGATTGCAGGAGGTTGCTGCCAAGCAATTGCTACTGATTTATTTTCATCCGATCACACAGCGCAGGAATTAAGCACTGTGCAAAACACATGGGCGACTTAATTACAAAAGGGCTTCTCCTGCCATACAAACCAATGCCAAGCGACTGAGGCTGCTCACAGAGTGCCCTGACACGGCCCCAGCTCCTCATCACGGGACAGAGGGGCTCCAATGCCACACAGACACAGTGCCAGCAAACACAACACCCACACCTACTGCAAACGGAGCTGCTTCTCCTTCTGTCTTTTAAGCAGGGAGGATGAATGAGAGCAGAGCAGCTCGAGGCTCGGGCAGCGCTCTGTGGATGCCAGAGCCACGCTGTGTGAACATGTGTGTCCATCAGGCAACTGTCAGGAGTGGTGAATTCTAAATCTGAGCCAGTGATAGGGGGAAAAAAAAAAGGTGGGGTGTGAAACCACACCTGGAAAATGCTGCAGGCATTAAGGAATTAAGGAAGGAATTAAGTACAGCGTGAGCAGTGCTGTGCTGGACGGCCTGCAGCCCAGGAGCTGGTGCAGCATGCTATCTTATAACGTTTCTTTGGAAACACTCCGCTTCCCTCAACATTCAGTCACAGTTAAGTACCCTTGAACTAATTAATCTTTCTTTATAGGGGAAAACACACATTTGACACCATGGGTTCATTCATTTATCTAAGCTAAAATGCTTAAACCTCTTTAATTGTTGAGTCACCATCCCTGGATGTGTTTAGAAACCATCTGGATGTGGTGCTCAGGACATGACTTAGAGGAGGGTTGTTAAAATCAGGACAGTATGGTCAGGTTGTGGTTGGACTTGATCTTCAAGGTCTTTTCCAACGTGAGCAACTCTGTGATTCTATGAATGTATTTATTTATTTTTATTTTACTGTAAGAAACAGGTAATCAGTGCTTTACTTCATGCCTCTCCTTTAGATAAGTTACATCAGCACACTGAAATGCTGCCCATGCTCTAAGCAGCCACACATCCCTCCCTCGTGTGGCTGCAGCTCACTCACCTTAACTCTCTCCATCACTTTTCCCACTGCACAAAGCAGCAGACACATCCTGGCTAACCCAAGTGATGGAGCACAACACAGCGTGCCAAAACCACCGCCCTGTGCAGCAACAACGGAGCTGACATCTGTCATAGCATCTCCTTACATGTCAGATACTTCATACTGGAAATGCTGTGCTTCAGCTCTCACCCAGCATGGTGAGCTGTCAGGGAGAAGGAAGCTGTGTGTTTCTATCTTCACATCAATACACAGCTTTTGCTCAGGAACCTCAATTCACCTCAAAAATGTAAATACTGCCATTGACACCGCAGTGATTCACTCACTTTATCATCAGTTCAGCTGTGTCAGTCGGCAGTATTGCGCAGCAATTCAATGCCAAGCATGCAAACAATTATGTTCTCAACTTTCTGATACAACTCTCTGTATCGTAAATACTAAAAAAGTGCTAAAAAGCGTGACGTGGTGGAAGGGAAGATAAATAAAACCTATTTCTCTTTATCAGAATGGATGAAATTTGCTTCTCAACCACTTAAGAGCAATTGTTTCACCTTTTTGTTTTGTTTTCCTTTCCAGTGGTTCTATCTTCAAGTGACGTCCTTCTGGACTGCACCTCATGTGAGTACAGGCTTTATTGTATGTTTTCTATCAATGTACAACAGTGAAAATATTGACCAGCATTGCAATTTCTATTTTCTATTTACTTCTGTGAAATTGTACTGGGAAATTCACTCAGTCCCCCTGGAGGGGTGAGTGAAGGCAGCTGCACCTTGTTCACTCCCAGCTGCACCTCCTCCTCAGAGCTCAAACAGGTCGCCCATGTAGGCTCATACAGAGATTCCTCCAATGTACTACAGCTATAGCTTTGGGAAATTTAGACTTGGGGGATGCAGCCCATGATCCTCAGGCACTCAAGGACTCCAGAGAAACTGCAGAAACAGACTGGAGGAACATCAGCACCTGGAGGAGTGAATTGGCATCACCTCTGCGAGCTGCTTGTCCTCCCTGCCAAGAAGGAATGGAGGCAGTCATGCTCTCCTCCCCACCTCCACCAGCAGGCCACCACAGCAGCTAACACTGGAAGCCCACAGCCCACATGAAAGGCTTTTACGCGCTGACAAAGGCTGCCCAGAGCGCGCTGCTCTCGCTGCTTAATGAGCCAAGGACCAGAGCCAGGAATCATTTAATGCTAACACCGGCCCTGCCAGCACCGAGTGCAGCTCTGCAGCTCAGCAAACCGCTTTGACTTCTTCATTTTCTCCTCTGCACAACGAACACAACATTTCTGCACCCAACAACCATCTCCCCACTGTTTAAATCCCAATTTGATGCTCAAGCCGTGAACGCACCGCCTCCCTTCACTTTGATAAAGTATAGTCAGTATCAACAGGCAACACTTTCTAAAAACTTATTTCCAGCTATTGTGAAACAGGAGCTGAATGTTTATGGAGTAGTTACTTTTTATGTCAGTTTACCATAGGGCCTCTTTAGCCACAAGCTTACAGCCGGAGGCCCCGAGGCATTTTTGGGAATGGAAACTTTTGGAGCTCAGCTCTTTACAAATTTCCAGCCCACAGTATGTTTTTCATTAGTCTACACGGTGTTATAATAAATGATGCACTTCCTCTTTCATTTTATGATTTTTTTAAACATGCAACAATTTTTTTCTGTCTGTTTTCTATTACTTTAAAATACTCAACCACGATCACCATACAGTCTGCTCCGTGTATAACGACAGAAGGGATATACTGAGTAAGATATCAGCTAGAACAAGACAAGCTTCTCATTTAAATTCATCACCAAAGGCCAATCATAAATGCAATCAGTGCATTTTTAGGGGCCATTGTTACAAAAAACAGTAGTAAGTGCATTGCAGAAGCTGAAGTTGGCCCAGAAGAGGCTCCTTACCTGCAGGACGCAGCTGAAGCAGTGTGAGCTCACTAGCCAGATGCTAAAGCCATGGAAAACTCCTCATGCCTTTGCACAGCAGAATTACACAAAAGGCTTTTTTTGCATAAGGAGATACAAAGCTGCCGCTCTGCTCCCTTCCCTGAGTGCAGCTCTGAGAGGTGTTAGCTCTCATTTTCCTGGGGCAAAGCACCAGGATTCCTCAGCTGCTGCGGTGGGTCCTTTACATTACAGTAGAATTAGACCCCAGGAAGGACACACGTAATTGTCTCCTTCAAACGTTTATAAACAAGAGATAACAGCATCCCAAACAAAAACGTTGTAAAGTTATCACTCTAAACAAAACAGAGTACAAAGGGAAAGAGAAAGTGTCTAAAGAAAAAAAGAGAGAAAAGAAAGAAGCCAAGCACACAGCATTTGAGAATGTAACTGCATCCTAACAGCACCACTACCCACATTTAAAGCAAGCCAAAGCTCTTTGCACTGCCTTGTTCCTCTCAGCCCAAACGAGTTTGGTGAGCTCTGCAGGCGGTGGAAGGAAAATCAAAACCAAATGTCTGAAACATCTCAGAGCTGATGTCTGAGAACGCCGCGTTATCAAGAAATGCTCATCTCCCTTTGGGCTCCCTGCACTCAGTGCTGGTAGTAACTGAGCTCAGCACATCTGTAGCAGACAAAGCATACGGACAAGAACGTCCATACATTTGTTCAGTAATACTGGGGGACGTCTGTAGGTGAAAGCCTGAGAACTGAGAAAAAGGAGGAACCAATGCTAAAGAGTACCCAGCAAACAAAGGCCATGGGGTGATGGGCTGGAGGTTGGAGTGGCTGATCTCAGTCACCTTTTCCAACCTCAGTGATCCCAAGATCAGCCTTTAATGCTGAGGAGATGGAATCTTCCAACCTCTTTTTAACACAGAAAAGAAAGTGAAGGCCATCTGTTGCCACTGCCAGCAAGGAAGGAGGGCTGAATTAAGCAGATCCAGCTAATGACAGGACCCAGGAAGGAGAAAGGATTATCATTACACAGCATTCAGTTGTCTGACCCACTTCACCAGATTTAAAACAAAACAAAACAAAAATAAGAAGAAATACAAGTTTCATAATCACACCTCAAAATAACAACTAATTAGACACCGCAATTGCTTAACGGCAGAAAAGTACTTACTAATGGGAGGAGCAGTTCTCGACTACGTGCCCAAATCTATATTTGAATACTTTTCAGATGATATATGGTTGATACATTTATTTTTAGAGAGCCTTTTAATGTTCACCCTCTATAAATAATTCCCAATAAGAACACACTCCCAGGGCTGGCAGCACCAGGAAAACCAGGCTATGCCAACAAGAAGGCATTCCAGTCCAACTTCATCACGTCTAGCACACCAAGTTTCATTTACAAATCTTTGATTTCTAGATGAATGGCAGTTCAAAGTACATTTTAAAGACAGCTACTTTCTGCCTATGTATGTAGAGATTGCTAGAGATTAAGTCACTTTAATTAAAGACTTCAGCAGGTGTAACTTTGTGATACTCTTTGAATTTGGTTTAAACTGATGAATGTTCTGTGATTAGCCGGCAGTGAGCTTTAAAAACATCAGAGATCTCCCAAACGCAGCAAAGGAAATCTACTGATGGTCTGAAGTTCGGTGCTGCTCTGCCATTTACTTAACATACACACGACTGAGTTGGAAGCAGCACTCTGAAATGCTCAGCAATAAAGAAAAGCCCTGGAAGCAGCTGTGGGAGGGAAGCCCAGACCACGGCAGACCAACACATTGCAGTGGGCTTTTGTCCTGGTTTTTATATATGTATTAAACGACCCCAAGTTAACTTACAGCGTTAAGTCCTACAGCATTTAAATTAAAAGCATTTGGGATTCAAATGGTTTAAACATGAAAATGGAATTATTTCTAATTCATTCTTCTCTCGGTGTCATGTTTTAGGGTGATAGCAATATGAATCCCCTGTTTCTCCATTACTTAAAGGTTCTTTCTTGGGGAAAAAAAAGTAATAAAGAAATCCAAAGATTAATTCTAAGCTATCAGATAAAAATACCATAGTATTTACCTTAACATTTTTTGAATATATACTGAATTCAAGTGAAGCGATTTCAAAAGTTACCCTGGATGCTTTTCTCATTTGAAGACATTAAATATTGGCTCTCACAGATTTCCATTATACATTGTCCGACAATATTTGCTGCTGCTGATTACAGGAGCTGACTTAATTCTTACAGTGCTAATGACAAAGACTTGTACGAGTTGGGCACAGACGACATTTCAGAGTTTCATACTTAGTGCAGATGTAATTGCACATAAGTGTAAAAATTGGTAGTGCTAAATGCATAAATTCCCTTTTGAATAATTAAATCAACAGCTACCTTCAAACCTGCCTCCTAATCCTGCTTTAAATGATCATTTACTGCTGACACCTGAAGACAAGGGAAGGGCACAGACACACTTATATAATCCAGAGCACAGGGAACTTGCGAATCCCAAACTGAAGTCCCCAAACCACAACAAAGCCATGGACAAAGCAGTGGGAGAAACCAGCCATGGAAGCAGACAGCAATCCAGCAGCTTAGGGTCAATGCATGGCATGTGGTGCAACAGCTCAAAGGCAAGGCTTATAGTGGATGATTTGCAGGAGGCACAATTCTGGGAGCTCCAACTTATCCCAAAGAAATAACTGCACGGTTCTGAAAAAAATCACATTTTCATGTTTTTCTCTTCATCAACTGCTGGATGCTGCAGGAGAGAGAAAAATGACAAACAGAAAGGGACAGAAAGAAGCCGTGTTCTGTTGCTTCAGCAGAAAGGTGCAAATCTGGAGTGACTGCAAAGGTTTGAGTGGCCAACAGGTGCTGTGTGACTGCGTGCTCCAGCTGGCTGCACGGCTCCTCGTCCAGACATTGCAGCAGGGCTCGCCCTTGGCCAGAAAGGGAAAACCACCAAAGGTAGGGAAGGTCCTTTCAGTACCCACATCAGGCACAGCTTAATAAGAGAACCTCACAGGGCCGCTCCACCTCCAGCTTTATTCGCTGGCGGCTGGTTGTGTAACTAACAACAGAAAGGAGCCATTTCCAGCTCATTTTGCCTTGTGAGCCCCAGGCTGCCAGGAGGAAGCATGGAGCTCAGGAGCAGCTTTCCTGCCTGCCTCGCTGGGTGTTCCCCTTTGAAGAGGCACCCAAGCAGCAGCTCACTCACCTGTTCTGTAGGGTCTTCTTTAAAGCAATGCTTTCCACCCTTTGAGGTTAACTACAGAGACGTGCAATTAATTAAGCAAGTTGGTGGCATATAACTCCAGCCTTTTATTTCTACTGGGTGTCAGAGCAGGACACAAGTCCTGTCTGTAGCAGGATTTTGGAGGCTCCACAGAAAATGCTGTACTTTACAGATCGATCTGATAGGGTTTGTGCAACACCAGCCCAACCTGTGTCAGAGGAAACCAGATGGCTGTCAATTAAAGGAACCCAACAGCCTGTGCTGCTACTGTGAGGTATGGAGCTGGTGCATTAAACCTTTGTTCTCACATCCTTTTTTTTTTTTTTAAATGACTTTTTATGCTCAAATGAAGAGCAAGCCTGGAAGTGGATTTTAAGTGGCCTGCCTCCAAATTGGACAGGCTAACAAATCTTCATTTGTTAACAAACAAATGGACCCCCATTGGCCATGGGGGCTGCAACGCTGCATAAGAAATGCATCGAAAGCTGCTCCTAGCAGTAGTATTACTGCTTCCCAAATATTTTCCTGGGCTACAATGTTTGCAAACCAAGCCTTGTCTTCTTGCAAAGCTGCCAGGAACATTCTCAACAGTTTCAGTTCTTAATAACAACAACAAAAAAAAAAAATTAACAAAAAACATCCCCACATTATTAAAAAAAATTATGGAGAAAAGATGGCAAGGAATCTATCCCAATATAATGGCTCTCCCATTTCCACATAGCGTGTGTGCTGTTTGTTTTCATTCTTGAAGACCAGGATTTTATAGCTGTAATTACCTCATTTTCTCATGGTACAAACAGTCCAATTTTTATTCATTTTGATAGCATTCTTCCCCTGGTTTTTCTTCCCCTTAAAGCTTGTTATTAACATCAAATACAATAGATTCATACAATCAAAATACCTGTTGGGGGAGAGATTCATTAATAAATTGTATTTTCAAATCAGCTTGAGCAGAAGTGTCAATATGAAAATGAATAACTAGAGGGAATGATGCTTTAACTGACTCCTGAAGTTTGAAGCATATTATGGTGGTTCTATTTTTAAATTAATATCATTTAAAAGACGGTTTCTCAACCATAGCCTTATCTTAAAAGATTTCTGTGCAGTAATTTTCCCCATAATCTGGAGGGCGTTGAGAGGTAATGTTCAATTGAGCCTCCTGGAAGCAAGGAGGTGCTTCATGGTCAGCTGGCTGTGAAATCCTGTAGCTGCCTGCAGCCCTGCATGCAACCCTGCTGCTTTAGGTCTAAGATTTTTTTAAGTGTTTAAGGACAAGGAGCTGCACCCCACTATTTATCAAGGAGGACAGCCATGGCCTGTACTTCTGCCCTGCTTAAACAGCACCTGTGCTATCTCCCCGTGCTGGGAAGCAAGCCGTAGCACCTGCAGGAGCAAGACCTGTGGTCTCTGCAGAGCAAGCAGAGGATGAAAGCTGTTCCCCTCCACAACCACCTGAGGTCTGCAGAAGGAAGAACTTCTAAGAGCCCGGTGGCAGGGAAAGGTCAGGAGCAGGGTATTATATTCTGCATGTTTGGATTAGCACACAATGGTTAGCTAAACTGACTTAATATCTAATGACATTTTCAAACAATAGCTCATACAATTATCCAAAGTATGCAGAAACAAAACACGCAGACAAACACCACTGTGGTCCCTCAGACATCCACACAGCAGTGCGTGTCAGCGCTCTGGCCGTGCAGATTAGAGGTCAGGTATAAATGAAGTGAAGAATCCCCTGAACAGAAAAGGCAGAAGCACTCCTTCCTGCTTTGCCCGTTATTTTCAGTCCCACTTGTATGCAACGATCAGTTTCTGTCCCATGCTTTCAGCATACAACCATGTTTTTGGAAACAGAATCACTGTGTTTAAAAAAAATAAAAAGCATGTTACTGAAATGAATCACAAGCTCAGAATGCTCCCAGAAAGCCGCTGGGAATTAGCTGGGTTAGCAGGTCTGAGGGATTGTCACTAAAACCACATCAGCATCCTGAGTCACAGCTGGGGAAGGCGCTGTGATGGGACAGATGCTGTCGCTGCTCTCCAACTGCTCTGCACTGCTCCCTTACCAATGGAGCCGGCGTTAGGAATATTAAACTCAGGCACCTGTCTCAGCAGCTTGAGCTGCTTGTGAGGCACCCTCAAAAGTACAGCTTTGTGGTCCTTTCTGAAACCAAGCTGCTGATGCTACAAGCAGGGCTGCCAGCTTCACCACAGCCCTGGGAGAAGCTGCTTGAAATGCCCACAGCAGGCACTGCTGGTGAAGGATTAGTGAGCAACCACTGCGCTGCAGCTCAGGTACAACTGTGCTCTCCTCTAAGGGGCAACAAGCTGTGCTCATACAAAAGACATCTCTAAAGCAACTCATCTGATATTTGCTGGGAAGTCTTGCTTGCTTCAGCTGATTTGCAAATACAATTTATTTATTTTAGGTAATTACCAAAGCATTTTTGGGCACGTTAAGCCAAATATGAACTTGCTGAATTCTCATCCTAAGGTAAAACACAGATAACGCAAGTCCTGAGTAGATTCCCTTCACGTTACTTCTCAGTTCAACACTTATACTGAAAAACAGGAAAAAGCATCCATCGGTGACTGCAAGCATCTGTGCAATGGAACAAGGAGATACCTGCCCACATTGCAACCTCTCTATTGCATACCAGTGAGGGCTGTTGGCAATCCTCCGAAGGCACCGTGATGTCAGCTTGGACTCAAAGCACGCTGAGGTTCTGACAACCCTTCCACTTAAAACTATTCCTTATAGACAACTTCCACGTGGGTAGCGAAGGCCCAGACACACACCCACTAATTCACTGATGCCACAGTGATGCTTCAACAAAACCACTTCAGCTCACACAAGCAATACCCTACCAACCACAGTCCTCAATAACTACTTCTATGTTACCCTTGTGAATTGCTTAATCCCTCCTGAGCAGTGGCTCTACCTAAAGCTGAATTACTGTTCCAAGCACTCCTAAAAGATCAACTTTGGTGAACAAAACTGAACTTATTTGTCTTTGTCTCACTTAGCTGCCACAAATAGAAAATCAGAGCAGAACTGCCCGTCAGTTTGTAGCAGCTGTCAGAGATGACAGCACCTCAAACATGCCGTGCCTCCGCTTTGCAGCACCGCAGAGCAGGGTGCAGACATACATGTGTATTATGTACACATTCATCATTCATTTTAGGCATCAGCTCCTTTTGGGTTAACAAGGAAAAGCATCCACTACGCTTCTCTGCTGTGGGCAGGGAGAAAAATATAAATTAATTCTTCATTACAGTTTTACAAAGCAAATTATTTAGCAGCAATTTGTATTCAAGCTAAGCACACAGAATCATGATATTACACTCTTTTTATTCAAATGAAAGGAATTTACATTCACCTACAATCTCGTTAAAGTAAGAATAATGAAGCATTTTCCTTTTTTTTTTCTTTTTTCTTTTTTTTAATGAAAGTGTTCTTTCTGAATGCTTATAATAATTCTGAGGTTTATATTTTAGTATTTTTTCAAATACAGGTTGGCTCTGCTTCAGGTCTAACGCAGCTTTCTGTTTAAACTCCCAAGCCAGCTGGATGCTGCAGGCTTCTGCTGCACAGCAGTGCTTTGCAGAGCTGGGCAGGGTTTGGCTCCTGACAAATACAGCTGGGAGAGCTGTAAGGGAAGTTCAGCTCACTGTGCCCAAGGTTTGCTCTGCTGCTGGCACACACGGCCTTGCAGAATAGCTACTTCCCTGGTAAAAAGTCCTTTCTGGTACAAAAGCAGCTCCTCCAATGGATGCAGACACTATTTGTCGCTGGTTATGCAACTCCAGCAAGGGCTGGGCTATTCCTCAACCACAGTCACATCCTTCCAGTTTGTACTTCAGAAACAACAACAAAACCCTTGCGTGGTGACACGGTGGCACACAGAACAGACCTTCTAGCAGCACTGGGCCCCGTGCCCAGCACCCCTGCACCCCTCTGCCACAACCGTGCCACGATATCACTGTGGTTTTGCAACCGCCCTCTCCGCCAATAGCAGCGTGCAGCTGAAGCTTAAAGGATTATGTGTATGTATGTGCAGGGGAAGTCACATGTAAATACAGACTCGGTGCCATGAACAGGGCTGGTGCAGCCGTCGGCGGGCTGCTGCTAAGCCTCCCTATTGTTTACTCTTGCTAGAGAAATGAGAGGTCGGAGTTTCTGCTGAGCTTACCTTGGAAGGGTTCTGACTTGATGGACAAAATGTTTCTGCCAGCCTTCAAGGAACAGCAGGGCAGTGCCTACCAGGTGAGATTCTTAATAGTTCGCCTTCTGGAATGCTTTTGCTTTCTTTCTGAGTCTGGGAACAATTCGTGTTAACGCTTACGAGCTTTGGGTTGGTGCAAATGAACAGATCCACCGTTACAAAGCAGTGGTCAGTTTTTAGAGAGCAGCTCTTCAGGAAAAACATTGATGTATAAATTGTGCCATCCTGCTACTTAGATCTGCTCGTCCAAAAGAAAGTCACAGAGGGCTTCGTTAAGCACAGCGGTTTTCACTCTCTTACTCATTATGCTGGGCTTCTCACTTACTGCTTCTTCTTTGTATAAGTATGTGCTTCTAAGTTTTTCTTATAGTTGTTATGAATATATGAGATCTTAATTATTTACTTTATATTAAATCCTGAATGGTACGGCAGAGACATAGCAGAGAAATCGATCAGATATTAATCTGATTAGTCCTTAATAAAGAAGCAAAGTTGCCAGTGAAAGTGAGGTACTTGGGAATCTTCTATTCATGGCACAATAAAAAAGCACGCAGCAAACCATACTGTGAAAAACTACTGCAAAGCAGCTAAAAGACACTGCTAATTAACTAATTAATTACAATTAAGCTGCATTTTCATTTATATTATAAAAGAAGGTAAGCCAAAGGCAAACATCAAAGCAGCAGAAATTTCCTGCTTTCAGCAGAAGCTCTGAATAAGCAGAATGACTGCTGTCCTTTTCAGCCTCCATAAGCATTTTCAGCTATGCTAATCACCACAACATTTGCAAATCTGTTTTCTACTGCACTTAGCACAAGACCTACTTCGCTTTAGGGCTCTGCCTGCTGAACTTTACGTCCCTTTCATATAAATGCTAAAGCAGCATAAAAAGGCAGCACGCCATTTCTTACACCAGCATCGCGTTCTGAACGTATTTGATTGGCCCAGTGATTTAAGCCAAAGCAGCGTCCTGTGGATTCCAACAGAATTTGAATCGATTCTGAAATTATGAACAAAAAGAAGTTAATCAAATGTCTGGACAAAGAGACTCATGTGAATGTCTGCCTTCACGATCTGTACATCAGAATGATTCACTTTAGCTGCTCCCTTCTGGGTCTGAACAGCTTTCTCAGAATCTCAGCGTATTTTCCACAGCAGCCAAAACACAGAGCTCACGTACATCAGGATGGACCAGGCAGCTCCAGCAACCTCCTACAAACACTGCTGTAGTGCTGGTATGCACCCTGTATCTGTGGGCCACGTAACAACAACCATTTATCAATCATTACTAAGAAACTGGCTCTGTGACAAACTAATTACTCCTCAGGCTTCCACCCATTAGCACAGAAGGAAGCAGACACTCAAGGTGCATTTATAATTAAGGCTTTATACAGCTCTGCAGTAACAAAATCTGCTGCAGAGGTTGTGCTTTGGAAGGTTTCTTAAAATGTATACACCTAAATCTGCTCAAAGGACAAATCACTGCTAACTGCTTCATGGTATGTGAATCACTACAATTAGTAAGCAGTAGCCCCTATTTGATGTCATTTATTGGGCTGTCCTCCCAGGGACGTGTAAAAAACCTTAACCAGTGCTTCTCAAAATCCTGTGGGTTGGACAGAACACAGGCCAGCAGGTGTCACAGGTAGTACCCTCACCATAAGTATATCACTGATGTTTCTGCAATGAGAGAATCCATACGGAGAACCCTGGGTTACTGAGCCCCAAGACTCCTTTGCACACTTGGTGGGAAGCAACTCCCACCTGCACACCTGTGAAGGCAAACTGAGCACTGCCACGTCTCCAGTGCCCAGCAAACGTCCTACAGCAGTCAGCCATCAGGGTCAGCGCTGCCTCCATGGAGTCTGATGGATTGTTCCATACATGTAGTGCTGCAGGGAGCCCTGTAAGTGATTAACACTATCAATCAACTGAAAATGTTGAACAGCAGGCAAACCCCCCAGCGCTGGTGTAGTGGAGAGGGGAGCTGCAGCAGACAAGCAATAGGTGGACAAATCCGAGCCTTCTGTGCCAATGAGATGCATTGATTAATTTCAAGCTCCTTGTAAATGAAATTCCTACTCCAGATCTTCATAAGAACAATCATCCTAACGTCAGCATTAATATTATACTAGCCCTCCTAAAACCTTCAGTTAAAATACTGTATTCAGCAATTACAAGTGGAGTACAACTAAATCATTAGATGTGCCAGTTCATCTCAAGGAGGCAGCTGGAAAATGGCATTTCCTTCACCGAGCAAAAGAAATCAAAAGCCACAGGAGTGTCAGGAACAAGAGGTCTCAGACTTTAGCTGACAATTATCAGGAAGGTATCTGTTTATCGTCAACGGATGTGACAAATCTTCAAGTCATTTCAGCCATAGTAGAGCTCTGCTTAGGGGCAGACTGTTCTCTTCAAACTCCAGACTCAAACCGGTTTCATACTTACTGCTATCTTGAAAAGAGCTATGTCAATATTCCTGCATTTACGAGAAACCTGAGTGTTTCACAAGAGATTCCTCCGCAGCCAACACGATGCCTTGTTGATCAGACACGGTGTTGGCTTTCACATGTGCCTCTAGTTGGAAATGGCATGATGTTAGAGCTTCCAGGAAAACTACCATCTGTTCTTCCTGCCATTCAGGCAGGAGAATGCCTGCAGAGAATGCTTCCATGCTGCCAGCTCTGAGCAGCATTTCCCATCACAAGCCTTGAGCATGGGAGAAGCCAGCAACGAAGGTTAAGATAAGGGCTCACTCACAGCCATCCCAGCAGGATCCCAGCCTCTCACACTGCCCTGCAGCAAGCTCAGCCCACAAAGAATAGGGATAGTTCACTCTAATTTTGATAGGCAAGGACTGGTCTTTCTTTAACAGAGTGATGCTGATTTAAATCATAACACGTGGCTCATAGACACTGCTTACTCCTGCAATCCTGAGTAATGCTGGAGATTCAGAGATCCAACCATGTGCAAACCTGTGATCTAAGTGAAGATATTTAGCATAAAGATGCTTTGTAATTTTCTCTTTCCTCAAGTTAATATTTATATATATATGTCTCCATGATCTGATCTTTACACACACACAAAAAAAGAACATCTGTGTTTCAAATGCTGGTAGCCACTGTCTGACCTGATCCATGTAATGCACTGTGCTGGGCAGGTTGGCCTTCCTGTACGAGCAGGAGACCCCACCTCATGCCACAAGACATTCAGTGTGCATTAGGAGCTGCACTTTGCTCTGTGGCAAAGTCCTCCCCATCACACACAGATGGTACAGACAAGGGACGGTGAGATTTTCAGGCAGATGCTCTGTTGGAATTCAGAGATAAAGCAAAGTCAGGAAGAGGTGGAGCAAGAGAGCAGTCAGACTCACTCATCTGATATTTGGGCACTAAGATAAGGGACACCCAGTAAGTGACAGAGTTAACCCCTGCGGAGCCCTGGGCAGCTGCTGCTGAGCACGCAGAGCACTGTTGGCAGTGCAGCTCTTGCTGGGGCCGGGTTCTTAACTGCATGAAGGCAGATGTGCCTGGCAGACAGCAGCTGTCTCTGCACATGGGGCTCCTCCTGCACAATCTGCAGTGCCCTTAGTGCAGGGCTATCTCTCCCTCACAAGCTTTACTTTGCCATTAGCTAAAAATAAATTTTCCTTTTTCTTCCAAAGGAGCACCTGAACTCACCTGATGCATCTGTGAGGGCAATCTGCAGACAGCTTAGCTCTGATGTGCCCTTAAGTGAACTCAGGTTCCCAAGGAAAGAGATTAACAATCTAAACAAAATGTGCTAATGGGACTTTGTTAATATTTTGCATTTGGAGGGCACTACATGTATTTATACAGTAGTAATAGAATAATGTAAAGAAAACATTGAAAGGGAAGTGAAAAACTGCATTTACGGTTGGTAGGTTGCTACCAGGCAGCAGAAGTGGGCTCTGAATTATGCTGGAGCTGCAATGCAATGATTTACCACAATGATGCTGTCTATGGAATAAAGGAACAAACAGATTACAGTGGTTGCAAACCATCTGCAGAACAGCAAAAGACTTCACATCACAAGAGCGGGGCCCATGGGAAGGAGCTGAATTGTGAAGTGTTCTCAGGCAGATGTTTGTTTAGAATTTCTGAAAAAGCAGTGAGATGGGCGAGCAATCTCAAAGGATGACCAACACACAGTGAGAAGAGTGACTTCGGAAGCCTGAGCAACTGTGTGCTCACTCCACGTGTGACGGAAATACACCCATCCTTTCTGAGAATTCCGTTCTCGTTGCTGGCTTGACATGCCTAAGAACGCATCGAAGGCAGCCCAGGAAGTCCCATAGGAATGAGAGAAGAAATGACGAGTATCAGCTGAAGAACCTCGTGCTCCCTCTGCCAGGACCGGAACGGAAAGCGGTACTGCAAGAGGAAGAAAACCACCCCACCCCCACTGATCTGCTCCTGCTCTTTTGTTTGTATGCTTTAAGCATCCCAGGCAGGATGTCAGATTTAATGCTACTTTATGCATCAGTTATTACTGTAATCCACTCATGGCTTCCTTCACGTTGTACTGCATGGGATCAACTACATTATAAAATGAAACTGATATCAATTATAAGCATACCACCCGTCAAACTGGTCAATGATTGCACCACGAAGACGCAAATGATGGGGTTGGCAGAGGCCTGTTTTTCTCAGCCCAGCACCCAGTATCAAGCAGGATTTTCTTCTACACTAATGTTTAAAGCATTTTATCTGAGCCATATCATTATATTCCAAACAATAGCAGCTCAGCAGCCACACAAAAAAAGAATATTCGGTTCCTTACTTGCCTGCACTGCAGCATTTTTCCCCTCTCATCTAACCTGGACAATCTAGTTTTACTTTTCTGTACAGCCAGCCAACGACTCCTCTGTTAACCCTTACGACACGTATATCAACTGGTAAGCTGAAAAAAACATCATGTAATGCAGACTTGGAGCTAACAGCAACGTGAGACAGCTTTTTCTCACACTTCAGAGCGTGCTCCCCCTGGGGCACGACTAATGGCAGGGGTGCTATTCTTCCGCAATACCTATCATCCACTATTTAAATGTTTAAGGAGTAACCCATAAATAATACTTAGCATGTCACTTTCTAAATGCACCTTACAGACCCTGATGAGTAGCCAGAATCTACTAAGCCATGGTTCATGCAACGCTTCTGGCAAAGACTTCCAGTTTTCTGCTTCTGCAAACCCCTGCAGTCCCACAGTGCCTCCCCACGCAGCACGCTTTGCTTTCAGTCCCTGCAGAAATTAAGAGACCCTTTGGGAACTCTACAGGACCCGAGGAAGGTACGAATGCTCAGCATCTGCAGAGACTTCATTTGTTGGCAACAGCTTTATAGCTACATATGGCTTATAACGACATTACGGTTTGTGAAAAAGAATATTCAGAGGTCGGATTATCTGTTTAAGGGCACTGTCGCATACAGGTCAAGCAGACAAAAGCATTTCTTTACTAAACTAAACATCTGGACAGCAAGAGGGGGCTACAGCAGAACACAAAACTCAGCACACTATTAACGATCAACCTACAGCTCAGAAACTCCGCAAAAGAAACGATCCACTTCAAGGACACAGAGAACACACGCACACCACTGCTTGTGTGCAACACTCAAACACGGTGAGCTCAGCCATCTTTCCAGCTTCTCAAAAAAAGGAAACACGATGGGATCTGTGACACCATCACAAAGTGGGGCCCTGTCGTATCCTCACAACACTGAAGCAATCTCTGAATTCCACATCAGTGCCCGGAAACCTGCCTCCCCAGCTTCCAGAGCTCGCCCTGGGAGCAGGACAAGCAGCGGGATGCTTCTCAGCACAGTGTGCTCAACCATTGCCTGATCAGGACGTATGGCCTGTAAAAGCGAAACCTCAAAGCCGTATATTCTTATCACAGGTTAAAAATAAAACACTTGCTCTTGAGCAAGAGCGGTGGATCGCAGGGCAGGGAATGGGCTCCCAGATATCCCCAGGGAACCTGAGCACAGACGACAACCCCCAACAGCTCTGATCGCTGCGCAGCCCAAGCATTCTGGGCAGTAAGTCGGAAACCCAGTGGCTGAAGCCCAGCCTCTTGCTTCTTGAGCGGGGCTGTAAACAGCCAAAGGGAGGGGCCTCGCACAGCCAAGCCGAGCCCAGAGTGGTGAGTAAGTCACCGAAGGAAAAACAAGTGCAGCATGCAGCACTGGGGCTGGGAGGCAATGGGCTGCGGGTGCGGTGAGGCGCTCCGGCTGCTGCCCTCCCCGCATGCCCTCCACGCACGTCCCCTGCAATGCCTTCCATGCAAGTGCTGCCCAGGAGAGCCTGCAGGGCTGTGAGGTGAAGGTAAGGCTGGAGGGGTGCGAGCGGCGGGCGGGACACGCGCCTTGCTCTCGGTTTTCCATTTCAAGCGCTGAGGTTGATCGCAATACGATAAAAAGTGTGAGCCCAGACAGCACGAGGGGGAAGCACTGGGGACGGCTGAGTCAGAGCACAGTAAACAAGAGCACTGCAGCATCAGCCTACCCAACACAGCCAACCTGGGACTGAGAAAAAACTGCCTTTTGCCGGAGAAGTGCTCAGTGGGGATCTGTGGAATCCTGCCCATGGAGCATGGTGAGGACTGGCCCAGGGGGCCCAGTGCCTTTGTGGGGAGAAAAGGTGAGCAGTCAGTGCGCCTCACCTGGCCGCCAGGAATGGGTAACAAAGTGTGGTTATTTGGCGTGGGTTTGATTTGTGCTCCTTTTTAGGTGGGTTTTGCCATTTCAGAAAGTTACTATTTAACAGATATCCTGCTTCTTCTGTCATTAAAACGGAGCTGACTAATTTACCTGCAGTTAGAGAACGTCAAGAAAATGGAGTAATTATTACACGCAGTTGCAAAACCAGACATCCCACCAATCTATAAAACACAAAGCAAACACACACACAGAACGCAAAGGCTGCTGACTTCCTTCTGAGACAATACACAGGCAAGTGCTCACGGCTGATGTAACTCAGTCTGTAGTAATCAAAGTTATGTGCTTAAGGGTAAACCTACATAATGGAACTACATGATTGTACCCATGCCTGTGCTTAGTCAGCCTTGCACTCACTGTAATGCATATATTTGCAATATCTTGTTCCAGTCTGCTGCGTTGCTTGAATCAAGCCAGAGCAGTTCAATGAGATGGAATTTTGGTTGCCTTTGACTGTGCAAGACAGCTTTTCTTCTTCTTTTTTCAAGTTTTAACACACCAGATGCTTCCTGAAGACTCACTGGGTTGTTTACAGTGTTCAAAATAGAATGAGGATTAAGGGACAGTATAAAGATACCACGGTAGGTACATCTATGCAACACTCATGCTAAAGAACTGGTCTGAGAATGCAAACAAAAAGGAGGTTTTTATCCAGAGGTGAAATAAATCTTTGCATACAACAGACCTGCATCCTGTGCTACTGTTAAAGACATCTCTTACCTGAGAAAATCTGGCATCAGACTGTGAAATAAAGGCTTATCTGCCCAGCTAAGTGGCTGTATTTTATCCTGCTATCTGGCTGTGCTTACTTAGAAGAAAGTGCACACAAAACAACTGCAGTGGGAAATAAAATGGAACTGGACATGATTCTGGAACATATTCTTCTGGACTTCAGCTGAAGTGTCAGAGGATTAACGCTACAGAGATGGAACTGCACATCTCCCAGTGGTTGCAAAACCCACACTGTATCATTCAGCCATATGGTTCACTGAGTACAGTATGTTGTCTAGTCACATTCATTTTAATTGCACAATGCTTCATGTGGATTCAATTTAATCTTGTTCTCTCGCTGGAAAGAATGCATTTGTGTACTTTTCTGTACCTGCTGAAAGAACACAGTGCTGCATATCTGACCATCTCAGACTACATCTGACACGTGAAATCACCAGCCACACTGTCCTAGGAAAGGAATGACAGCCATGATCTGAAGGCCTTGAATGTTTCCAGTTGTACCTTAGAGATTGCTTTAGAGATTTCTTATTTCTGCATTTCAGAAAGAGACGATGGCTTTGAGGAGTCTTCTGAATTCTGATGACAAAGGACAGCTGGACAATGACTACTGATATTAGCTTACTTTTTGAAGAATTTAAGCTATTGCAGGAGGAAATGATAGTTAATTCCTGTCGTTTTAGAAATACAGGCTGCCCTCCTATTAGGTTCCCTAGACTACAGAGGTCCATTGTTTTTCCAGTACTAAATGGTTGTAGGTTTGAAATCTGAATAGAAAGTTGTAAAGAAAAGCCAGCAAAAAAAACAACAAACCTTCCACCTCATTTCCCAGTTTCCTCTTGCCTTACCAGTGACTGATCCAGCATCCATTCACCAGACTGCCTCAGCTGTGCCTTCTAACAATCACTTTGAGAGAAAACTTGTTTGTATTTACCACATAAAACCATGCAGATTTTTCTATTTTCCATCTTACTGCTGAGATCTGTAGCTCCTCTTATATATTCTTCAGCAACTACATTTGCACAGTATTAAATAAAGGCGCTGCTTCGTAATTTTAAGAAGTACTGATATTGCTGTGCATCACATTGGTATTTCTTTTTTTTCAGCTCATTGCCACTGATTTCCTCTTAAGGAATTGAAACTTGTACATTCATTTAGCAGTCACCTGAAATTTTTGAAACACGGGTGACTTCCTATAGTGAGATGGAAAAGAATTTCCATCACTGACCTTAAACCGGTCAGTTTGGTCATTGGTTACGCGAGCTGCGTGATCTTAAGTGTGTTTTCTTCACATAACATTGCATTTCACTTACACTGCAATATCTGAACACTATTCCTGTTTCTCTCTCTACAGAAAAGCTGGTAACCAGCAGAGAAGATACAAGAGCTAAAATCACTATGTGGAGCTGTGAAACCTTAAACAGTACTGACAACATCGAAGACCAGCATCTCTGCCAGGACTTCCACTTTGTGTTGTCCATCTTTTCCCTACTCTACCTCATCATATGTTTCCCAATTGGCCTGTGCTACAATGGCCTGCTGGTCCTGGTCAACCTGTACAACAAAGCGACCATGACGATGCCCGATGTTTACTTTGTCAATATCGCCATTGCTGGTCTCATCATCAACACCCTGGCACCAATGTACCTCCTAGGTCTTGCCAACACAAAATGGGCCATCTGGAATTCTAACAACGAAGTTTATATCACCTTGCTTATTTTGTTCAACGTCTCATCTTTGGTTACCATGTACTCTACCACATTGCTCAGTCTGGACTACTACATCGAACGCGCCCTACCCAGAACTTACATGTCCAGCGTGTACAACACCAAGCACGTCTGTGGATTCATATGGGGAGGAGCCATGCTCACGAGTTTCTCATCTCTACTGTTCTACGTCTGCAACCACGTATCCACTAAAATAATTGAATGTTCCAAGATGCAGAACAAAGAGGCAGCGGATGCCATCATGGTGTTTATCGGGTACGTCGTTCCGGCTGTCGCAGTACTGTATGCACTTATTCTGATCCTGAGGATACGCAAAGAGGCGACACCTCTGGATCAAGACACTGGACGATTAGATCCATCGGTGCACAGGCTTTTGATTGCCACAGTCTGTACACAGTTCACGTTATGGACACCCTATTACGTTACCCTTTTGGTAAGCACATTTACTTACGCACGAGGAAGACCTGCAGATGAAAACTACAGTCGGATATTACATTTTACCAAGGTTTTATCCAAATTCTTGGCTTTCTCGAGCAGCTTCGTGATGCCTTTGCTTTACAGATACATCAACAAAAACTTTCCCAACAAATTACGACGGCTGCTCAAAAAGATACACTGCGGGAACCAGGGGTGTTCTCACGAACGCACAGCAGTACAGCAAGTCATGACGTAGGCATGAACACCTCTGGTGCTGTTACTGCAGTACTCAGACTGCGATGCGGCTGCGTTGGCACTCAAAGTCACCGACGTGACAGCCCCAACCAGGAGGAGCCTTTAATGAGTGAAAGAGTCTTAACTTTCCAAACGTGTTTGCTGAGATCTGTAAGACTCTGGCTATGTGCTGTAATACCTGTGACATCTAACACTCTCAGTGCACTGAACTGCTTACAAAGCGTAAGCTCTGTCTTCATCATTCTAATACTCCTGTCTGAACAAATCACTAAGCAGATGATGGAAATCCTGACTGAACACACTGCACCTTGCAGGGGAAAAGGCATTACCTTGTTTTCTGTGCAAAGAAGTAACAGCGCTATCCTTGATGAAGTAAATAGTATTTTTCAATGAAGATGATACGGGTGATCTTTGCTGAAGGGCGTATCACCCAATTAAATATGTCCGAATAGTAAATGTTAATTATAAATTAAATTATTTAATTTCCTTCTCCATCATCAAATTCCCTACTCTGCCATTTTCAGAAGCTATATTCTCACACTCTCTAACCTAAGCTATTAACACGTACGACGAATCAGATTTTTCCTAGATACAACAGTAACATGTTTTATTCTTCCGGTGCTTTGTTTGCATCCTAAGGCATTTCAGGAATTCAAAAATATTTATTAACTAATTCTAGGGGAATTGAGAGATTTTTGTTCCACATGTTAAAATGAAGGACACAATGGTTTACAAACTTAAATCAAAACTGAACGAGTAAAGAATGTCTGGCTAAGTGTTATGGTCCACATATGTTCATCTGTAACAAGAGTAATTATCTTAAAAATAAATATGTTTATGATTAACATTTCTTATTTTCAAGGGATACGCTTCTCTACAAATAAACTGAAATCTCTTTAATCTCGGGGATCACTGGAAGTTCGGAACCCAGAAAAAAAAAAAAACCTTTCAATGCATGCAAGATTTTAGGATGGGAATAATACGAGGGATGCTCCAAAAGTAATGCCTCCTATTTTATTTTGTTGGTCCACGATGTCAGAGGTGGATGTTGGTGGGATGGCAATAGAGGCTGAACCTTCCCAGCAATTTTCTGTGACGTGCTGTTGCCCTGTGACAGACGGCAGCAGAGGGGCACTCTGACAAAGTGGCATCGGACATTGGAAGTGTGCACAAAACAAAGGTGTTTCGAAATAAATAGCACTCACTGACATTTTCCAACGCTTGCTGAAGGTTTGTGGAGACCAAACAGTGGGTGTGAGCACAGACAGGGGTGGGCAACGCATTCCAGCAGTGACACTGACTCTGGTCACTCACATGGGTATGGATTTTAACAAGTGCAGTATGCAGGTGCTTGTTGTTTGCTGGCAAAAATGCACAGCTCACGGTGGTGACCGTGTTGAAAAATAGTTTGGTGGCTGAGAATTTGCTCTACCAAGCAGTGTTATTATGCTCTTTGTACCTGCAGTGCTTTCCATGGAAATAAATAGGAGGCATTACATCTGGAGAGACCTACCTACATATGAGTTCCGCTCAACATCAGCTTCTTGCTGACCTGGGGAAAAATGTCTCCCAATGTGATTCACAAATACACAGCGAAAGTACAGTTTCTGTATTTCACAGTGGGGATGGAAAAAACCAACACAGCTCAGAGTGTTTGAAGAACATGAGAAATACAAAAAGCTGCTGGAAACAAAACTACCCTGATCCAAACAACCACCTGCTGCTGTTGTTGCATTAGTGACAGCGGAGGGGACAGAAGTTATGCTAACATTCTCCCATTGGCTGAGGGCTAGCAGGACTTCTTTGCCACTGGCCCTGCAACAAATCATTTCTTTGCTTTATCTATCACAACACAAATCATTCAGCAAGACTTCAGCCAAGAAAAATCAGGGGTTTTCAGCCTCTGGTATAGAAAAACCATAGAGTAAAAACAGAATTAAATCTTCTCTATTGCATCATCTGATCTCATAGCTGGTCATAATTTATGAGCATAGGAAAATGGTGAAGTTTAAGTGAGAAGGAGATGAGGAACAGACTTTTCTCAGATCTTTTCCCCTCTTTTCACCATCATTTGAGTCATTCTTCTCACAGCCATCTTCGCTTACCTGGTTCATACACAGTCGTCATTTACATTATCAACATCCAGCTCACCCCTTCCTCTTTTGCTTTCAATACCATTTTCTATCTCAGTGAGCTTGTTTAACCATTGAAACCCTACACAGCAAGTCATCTATTTGTGTGGTGGTTTCTCCCCATGAAAGCTAGCCAGCATAATCACATTACTTTGCTTCACAGTGTCAGCCTGTAGATTAAAACCAGGTCACAGAAGGAAGCCTTTCCTTATCACCACGTCCATTCACACGCTAATTTATGCCTCTGCAGACACAATACTGGCTTCTTGGTTTTCATAACCATTTTTTGGTTTCATTTTTCTCTTAACTTGAGATATATTCTAAGAATTACAAGCTACACTCATTTGAAGCATTCAAGCTCACGCCCACAGCCGTTCATAGAAAATCCTTCCTTGGAACTGCTGAGTAAATGGAGACTCATCTTCCCTCCGGGGAACACTGGGCATCCTGAAGCACCACGTCACATCTCTCACGTCAAAACTGTTCAACAAATTGTGACCCACGGGGCAGGGAAACAAACAGCAGCAGAGAGGAGCTGGCAAACCTGGGTGTGAGCAGAGCCTCGTGGAGCTGGGACACGGCCAGGGCAGCGGGCTGAGCAGGCAGCACCAGGGCAGCTGTAACTGCTGTGCTGCTGCCCTGCGTCCATTTCCCCTCTTCCTAAGATGCAGCACACTACTTCCCGTGTCTAAGCATTTGTCACATTCATTTCTATTCAGGTTAAATCACCAGGCCGCGGCTCTTTCATCACCTCTTTCTGTCATTCCCCTCATCTCCTTCAGTTCTCTAACCCAAACGTGCTATTCCATTTCATTCTGCTCCTGATCCTTTTGTGCTTGGCCTTGTACACGTGGTAATTCCCAAGACCACCTCCTTCATGACAACTCAACCTCCATCCAACGATTTGGCATGGAAAATGGAACTGCACGGAAAATGGAAGCTGTAACTTAACAGAAGGAGAAAGAACAAGTCTTCTATCATCTACTCTTGAAACCTCAACTTTGATTTTTTTTCCTAAAGATCCTTTTTACTGCAGCAGAATTGAGTTTGTGCATATCCTCGATAATCTACTAAATGTGATGGCAATCATATAGGCAAGGAGTGCTGATAACTTCATGAACAAGACTGACAGAAACTCAAGGATTTTTAAGAGTGAATTTGATGTCTCATTTGCCTCAAAGAAACTGTGCCATGGAATGGGCTGGCTGCTGTTCCTCTAAATTCTGAACTTGATTCCAGTGCTCTCATGTGGTGTCCCTTAAAAAGCAATATTCCACAAAGCAAGAACTTCACAGTATTTATAGAAGCAGGACATGAGCAAGCGCATTAAAATACTCAAGGAAATGCACAATAATGTAACTATGGAGGAACTTTTATGGGCAAATTTCTAAAATACAAAGTTCTCAAGGATGAGGCCTTTCCATTTCGATACCCAAAGGTTTCTGATGACTGTAAATAGGGGCATGCCTACTTTGCTTCTAAATAAATATGAATAAAATACTGCATATATGCAAGATAAAAATCGGTCTACTGATGAAAAAATAATTTTCAAGTAATTCATTAAATTATTTCTTAAAGCAAGTGTATCATTTAAATGCAAACCTCTGGACAGTCAAGTGTACTGTATGTTTTGGTATGTACTTACTGGCATTAGAAAGTAAGCATTTGTTAAGCGCCATCATTAACAGCATTATTTTCTCACAAAATTCAACTTCATGCTCGAGATGAGCTGTGACTTAAAGGCCACTTCCTGAAGAGCCAATTAAGTCTAATCTGTGAACTAACAAAGATGTTCGTCTCTGCTTCTGCTGAAGGTATGAACACAGCCAGTTCAAGTCAGGTCTGTGTTGACAAACCCAGTAGGCGTCCTGGTTTCAAAAGTTTCCATTTAGAAATCAAACTGAGATGCTCTATGAAGATGTAATGTTCAGTTAAGGAAAGAAAGCGACCAACCACTGGAGAATTCCTGGTTCTACTTGAAATAAAGAAACGTGGTCTTTCCATTTCATGTCCAAGAACGACATGAAATGGACTTTTGGCAAAGCTTCACAAAGAAACCACCGACTCCTAAGACTCTAAATAGAGAAAGTGTTAAAGCCCATCTGTTTGGTAAGAGGTGTGGGCTCTTCTTTTTGACAAAAGGGCTACTTGCAGGCAAGGCTAAAGCTGTGCTCCTTCACAGGACCAAAACATCACAACTTCGTGACTTGGATGTCAAACCAGGTGTGGTGAATTATCTAGATTTTCTAGGTCACAATTTTTACATCATTAAAATCTAATTATGCATCAGCATGAAGTCGGCTGGGAATGAAGGCAAAAAGTCACAGTTTTTTCCAGCATAGTGAATCCTACAACTAATAGGACAGAAGAATTGGTGCCAAAAATACAAAGTTGTTGGTTAATGTGTACACTGGCTGTGTGTTTGTCACTTCTTTGTGCAAGTGAACCCAACTGATCATCAGTGTAAACTCAATGTACCATCCAGGCAAGTCAGTAGGTTTACATGAGGCTGAACTGTACCAATATGCAGCAGAATCAGCCCTTGTGTGTGAGCACAGAGAGACCTCAATGAGGACAACCATACTTTGGCACCGAGACAGAAAGCACTGAACTGTTCTATTACAGGAAAACAGGTTACAGCACCGAGGTTAGCAGGAAAATAGAACACCCATATCAGAAAGAGGGGAAGTAACGCTGAAAAAAATAATAACCAAGATTCGGTTCCCTTTTTCTGTGCACGTACACAGTTAAGAACTGACTTATCGTTGCTAAATAAAAATGAAAGCAGGCTGCTGGCCAGGCTGGAGACCTACACATGAGCTGCCCTGCAATGGCACAGGGCTGGGAACAGAAAACAAAAGCGGAACCTGGCCAAGTGCCACTCTGTTCTTCTCTTAACGGAGCACTTCAAGAAGCACTGATTTGGGCCTCAGCTTCTGCAGCTGCAAAGTGCTCAACACATTGAGGAATCTGAAACATATGCTCTAAGATTAATTCTTGCAGCTTTTTGATAAGTAAAACCTTGTGTATTTCTTAACCATATCATGCAATACTTTTTCCAAGTGAAAGCAACTGAATGCACAAAACCAGCTGTGCAGACTCAAGTGTGAAATGTTTCCCATCATATTTCCCTTAACTTTCCATTACCTATCAAAACACTTTGGCATATTTTGAATACATTCTCATCCCGTAGGAGAGCAGTGCATTTATTATCTATTTTCTCACTCCACTTCCTTCCTACCAAGTCTTTGCCTTACCTGGGAAGTGTAGGCCATTTCCTTCGACTCCTCCCTTCTAAAGAACAGCACACTGACAGAATGCTCACATTTCCTTGCAATCCCCAGCAGAAAGCTCATGTGTTGTTACAAACCATGACAGGAAAAGGCTTAAACGATACCAGATTCCTATCAGAGCATTAACGATTCAATATACAAACGTTTACAAAAAGACAAGCCTTCCTTTCAGAAGTTCTCCAGAACAAATGAGTTTTTAAACCAGATGAAACGGATTCACTTTCTGGTTATAAAGCACCTGAAGATGCTTTGTGTGAAAATAGAAATAAGCAGCAGCACAGACACTCTCAGCTCAGAGGGCTGGAGAAAAGATTGTTAGGAAAGGGAACAGGTTCCCAATTAGAGCTATCCTAAGGTACCTGTGAGTATATTTAGAGCCAACAGCAGGAATAATGCTGCCATTATACAGGAAAGCTCTCAACTCCGGATCAAGTTAACATCTAAAAATGCAGAATTGATCCCCTAATTTAAAGGGGTTTTTAAAATCATAAATCCCCCCCGATTTCAATAGGAGGTTCTTTGATTTATCACTTCTATGCAAGTCTATGTGTTACCAGTAATACAACAAAACTTAAACCCTAATTTTAGCATGTACATCTGCAAATTTAAGCTAAAAATTATCTTGAAGCTGGTAGAATTCCCACACTTGTTTTTATCTCACCTCCCAGATAAATGGTATTTCTGATGTTAATTCTGGGATCAAATCTGTTGTACAAACACCACCTGGTGGTCACTAACAGAACAATCCCGCGTGTCACAAAGGTGGTTTGATCCACAGAACGAGTCAAACGATTCATGTTCACAATGGAAACAAGATCAGACCAACTGCTGGTTATAAATGTACGTATCAGCAGGTCCTGTCTGCAAGCACATGGAAGGAGAAACAAAATTAGCCATCGCTTCTGCAGCACTGCTGAGACAGCGAGGTACATAAAATCCTGTTGCAAGAAACAATCCTCAACAATGTTCAATGTGTTTTTTAACCTCACAGGATATTTAACCAGACTATGAAATCTGATTATTGAAAAGACATAAATATTTATTAAAAAAAAAAAAGCGTGTGTTTCTTGTGTTTGTTCTGAACACCTGGTACCAAGCACTGCATAGAGAAGATGCTCAGAGATCAAAAGCAGTGCCATTCCCAGCCAGCTCCAGAGCATCGTAATTCTTCCTAATTAAGTTACGCTTTCACTAATTCAAAATGAAATAGATTTCATTCATTATTAATAGAGAAGTTTCTGAAACCTTTCAGCTCAGCCTATGTAAATTAAATAGCCATTCTAACACCTGCAGTTATACACGGAGCCCCGTTCCCTTATAGAAGCTGCTGTTAGACAAAGATGTTTTCCACCCCTCATTAAGGCATTATTTGGAAATACAGCCATTTTCAGCCCCCACTGAGGAGTTACCTGCACATCTACCCACACAGAGGAATTTACTTTTAGGTTGATGGAAACATCACTGCAGAGTAACAGTAAGAAAATACTGTTTATAGAACAGCAAACAATGCCCAAATAAGCCAATATAAAATCACTAATGGGGAATCATGAGTGAGCAATCCTGAGATGTGACGGCAGTGGTAACGCAGCACAGAGCACGGCTGTTCTACAATAAGAGGCTCAGTGTTGATTTAGGAGCAGCCTCAGAGGTGCAGGCAATTATTAATCCCAGTGCCTACGTACCCACATCACCAGCTCGTGCTTTTTTAACCCTATCCAAGCAGACAGCTTAAATTCCACAAATCCACATGGCTCCACGTACCTTGCAATCAGTCTGTCTATCTAATGAGGAGATGAACCAGCTGTGCAGTGGGCTGACCAAAGGAGCTCGAAGCATCCACATATCTAAATGCCACCACTGAAACCCACCTGCTGCAGTTACATGGCAGAAGCAGACACATCTCAGTTCCACTTACAGATCAAGATATCAGGAAGCCAACAAGCAAACAAAAACCCAAAAACATGCAGCGAACACAGAAAAAACAAAGACATGGCTTTTATTCTAAAATTCATCCTCAAGCAGAACTCCTTCAGTTCTCCAAGCTGGCAACTCTTGATTTTGTGCACAGATTCCGTTCTGTTTGGCTTTATGTTTCACCTCAAAGGCCTGAAGTTCCACGATCTTTTAATTGAGGACTCAAATTTGCTTGCTGCTGAATAGCTGACTAAGCAAGAAGAACAATTTCAGAGTGACTCTGTAACTGTATGTCAGTATAACAAGAAACTTAGAATAGATGCTCTTCTCAAAAAAAAAAAAAAAAAAACAAAAAAAAAACCCCTAACAGTAATAATAATAATAATAATAATAATAATAATACATCTGAATAGATTATTCAAGAAAATGTCAGCCCAAGGCAGCTCCCCCGTGCAGGAATCAGGACTCAGCACACTGACACATGGAGCCCCGTGGTGCCCAAGTGCCACCAAGAGAAACTCTGCACAGCCAGCTCAGCCCCTGAGCAGCACACTGAACCTCCCCGGCCTCCTGTGGTGAGCATCCCACCCACACCCAGGTTATTTTTTGTTGGATAATTACATTAGAGGAATAACTGAGATGGAAATACATGATAGTTCATGAAAAATAACTTCAGGGAAAAACATGGATTGTTTTTCAGTTCGTAATTCCAGTAACACAACATTGCTTTTCATCACAGCACGCTGGGGAATGGGCAGTAACAGCCATTGGATGTTCCAAAACAAAGGGATGCTTTCCTTAATAACCCTCCATCAGAAAGGCAAGAGAAGCTGCCTCAGCCCTACGCAGAACATCATTACCATGCTCACCTCATCCACTGAGAGCACACACGTGCTAATCATTAATCAACAGCACTCATACAAATAGTGCTAAAAGAATGCAAACAGACATTTAACCACCTTTGTTTTCGCACTTTTCTGAAGGCTCACACAACCCCACACTAGTTTGCCACTGTTCTCATGACTTGTGCCCTGTGATCACTTAAGCAGACGGAACTGAACTGATCCATTGTTTAAGAGAAGACCCAGCCGGTCTCACAACAGCAACATCTCGCTTTTCTTTCAGTAGTGCAGAAACTGTGAAAGTAACAGCAAAGTAACAGCACCCTGGGCTGCTGCCAAAACCACCCTGCGTAGCTGTTAGGATGCCAACAGGGCAGAATATGGAGTAAGAAGTTGGGAAACCTTGATTTCCTGACCTCTGTTTCTCTTACGGCTCTCAGTTTCTTCCATCCATTTGGGACACCAAATTTCTCAGTACCCAAACTTCCCATAGAATGTGGACACTTTCTGATGTTCTTCTTTGAATCAGTGCACGTATTCTGAAACTGTAACATGCTGCTTGCTCCCAAGTCGAAGCATGATAAGCATTCTTTCCTTTAGGTACAGCTGGATAATAACACACGATAGGGAATAACATTTGTAAATATGAACATAAATTTGGAGATGCAAGCTTTCCCTTTGTTTTTTGTTGTCGTTAAAAAAGGATGTGTAAGAAAAAGCTTTACTCTTTTCTCTTTTCTGTATAATTTTTCTCATTAGAAGACAAGCTCCCTCCAAGCTCTTCTTCACATCTTGCATTAGCAGAAAAGCTGCTACTGAAACACAGGAAATGCATTCTCAGTGCTGATGTGCTGAGGCTTTCTTCACTCCAGTTACTCCTCCTTCACCAACTGGCTGCTAATTACCTCAGAATAAAGCTTTATAAAGGGCAATTTGAATCATCCTTAAACTTTTGGTGCAGGCACTGATTTTTCTCTATCTTTCTGGTAGTCACAAAGGGTGCATTGGGAACAGATGAACCCCAGCAGGTTGTCCCAGCCAGAACCAAGTGCTGGTGAGGGACCCCGTGCTGTCAGAGCAGGGCAGATGCTGGGCTGTTCAGTGTTACCCCATGTGTGCACACAGTCCGTTCTGAAACCCAAAAAGGCAGGTTAGTATCTCCTAGTTGAGGACCAGACACTTCCTAAAATTTTCTTGCCTTTCCAGCATAACCACTGGATTCTTCATGCAGTTCATGCATTCTCTGTGCAGCCCCACGTCCTACATAATGGATAAGGTGCCACTCCAAATTTGCATAGCTCGTGGAAAATCAACAGTAAAACACATTTGCCTGACTTGCACTCATTTACCCTTGTTTATTATGTGAAATCGATACCACCAGAAGAAACAAGGACTTGGGGACACCTCCAGACCAGCTGTGCCATACAGAACATGTACACCACCCAGCCAGCTTCAAGCTTTTCAGAAGCAATTTGGAAACACTATTAAGAATGAAAGGGAAACAATGCACCCAGTCCAACAAACAACTATGCTGAGATGTTCAAAAACAAAGCTACGTGGGAGTTGGGGTGTTCTGAACAACAAGTGCAAGCTCCTAGAAAACCACATTTCACAGAGCTGCTGAGCTACTGAAGAACTGTTTTGGAGCACAGCTACTTCACAGAGCCTGAAGCAACCCACATCTGGTTTGAGAGAAGTGCTTGCAGCAGCAATGCTCACCCTCAGGTGGAAGCACAAACCTCAGCTGACATTGTGCCTCCAGCCAACCTGCAAGCCCCATTCTGAGCCCTGCACTCTGGTGCATTGGTTTTATTCCATTTTCTTGAAGTGTTTTGGATTTTTCCACGTATTTTTCAGTAAAGCTTGCTAAAGTGCAACAGGTAAAACACCATGGAGACAGGAAGCACTGACCAAAGCTACAGGAGATTATTACAAGATTAGAGAAAAACATGCTTTGCCACTGATGTGCTCCTTTGAGGAAGCACGGTGCAGCTGATGCCTTCCAAGCAACAAGGCTGTGTGCACAGGAATAATCATGAGCCAAGCCTTTCTTGCTCATTTCCATCTAAGGTTTTGAAAATACTATTAAGCAGTCACTAAGAAGATTGATGCTTAGCCCAACTCAAAACATATTATGGACTCAAAATCGTGGCTTTTAGCACCTCATGGTCATTGCAGAGCAGCTGGAAACACAGTTTGTTGAATGCACACAACCCTGGGGGTGTTCCAAGAGCCAGAACCCATGCAGAAATAGAAATACACTGTATTTTTAAACTGTGACACAAAGTATTTTGTTGTCACATAGCTGCCCAGTTCACTATGGGCTTTGAATCTGCACTTACTCAATTGGCTTTCCTTTTTCAAGAGCCCTAGGAATTAAAACAGCACACTTACCAAAAAAAGCAATTGCAAAGGCTGGGCAATGAGTGTAGGATTGCTTCATGGGCAGAAAAAAAATTCCACTGGATGGCCTCACAGACTCAGAAATGGCTGCAACAAACACTACTTTTCTGTTCTAAAATATCTCCCTGCAGAGGATAATTTGAACTTTAAAGTCACATGGTGAAATCATAGGTTTGCTAAGCATGCAACGTGTACGGTTTGAATGATGTAAACCCAGTTCCTGTTTCCCTTGCAGAACTGAATGTTTTTGTAGTCAGCAAGCAACTGGAGTTTTCATCGCGATTTATAACAGCCAAAGAAGTTACTGTGATATACACACGCTGCTGTCTGCATAAATAGAAAGGGCTACATCCTCCAAACAGTAACTGTAATTCATCTGACTACTCACAGTGGAAGTCTCAGCTAATTGTATCTGTGGAGCATTTTCCTGGAAAGGTAAGTGCTTTATCTTACTTCGGATATGCGATGTTTTATTCATCACCAGAGGATCAAATGGTGAAGCTGTGGTTGTCTTTCACAAAGTTTTTAATGTTTGCTTCTTTAACAAGATTTGAACGAGACAAAATGAAACAGTGCCTCTGAGAAGCACCCTCGTAAAGCTGAATAAAGCCGAGCATTAAACAGAGTGAATCTGACAACTGCTTTCTGCTAAATGCATTACTCCCACTGAACTGACATGGACAGATGATGAAATCCCATTCAGTGGTGTGGACGAGGGACTCCACAATTCATAGGAGCAGTCTGCTGAGGGATGGACATTTTTGGATAATCCTAACAGCGCTGTAAGGGTTCTATAGGCAGGAAACGCATCCGCAGTGCTGGTGTAGATTATGCTCAGTTATAGCTGATTCATATTCTGGGAAAGGGAAAAGAAAAGCTTTCGGTTTCTCAGCAGTCATGGTTAGGATTTCTGAAGTCTTTAGCCTCAAATACTTTCCAAAGCGTAGGAATTGTGCACTACAACGAGAAGAAAGTGGCATTTCAGTGCAATCATCCACTCCCTCTATTTTTGTCCCACCATTTGGCAGACCTAGCCAGAGCAGGAAGGACAAATCCACACGTGTGAACCCCCCACCCCCAAAGCGCCAGCATCGCTTCTGCGGGGCGGTGCAGCCCATGCCCGCTCACACAAGGAGTGCTGTGTGCACTGCTGGATGATGGGGGGAAAGAATTTTCTCCTTCTCTGAGCTGCTGGCAGACCAACTGCCCTGCCCAAGCTTTTTATAGAGGGAGAGCTCAGCTGCCAGCAAGAAACTCCCTGTTTTAGGGACTCTTCTTTCTAGACTTCAAATAAACAGAAGTTTCCTTGAGACCAAGCTCTCCAACCGCAGCAGTTAACCATCCATTGCATGGGAGGGTAAGAAAGCAATGGAACCTTGCAGACTGGGTCCTCTCATTACTGAAAGCTGCTTTTCACAGCTCGCTATTTTTCCAACTACTTCTACAACTACATGGTGCTCATTTCCTCAGCTCCACCTGTGGGAAGTGAAGCAGAATGCACGAGCTGTGCTTCAGAAAGTGGAAATTAAATATATTCACATCAATCTCTGGCACAAAAGGCACGGTGGACACAAATGGGGAAACAGTGCCAGGACAAACCCCAGAGAACCAAAATTGAAGCTACATGAAGGAAGGACTAACAGCGTGCAAATGATTGTCAAGTAAAACAAAGTGGGGAGGAAACAGAGGTGAGGAAGAGGATGGGCTTTTAGAGAAAGGCAATGCAGGAAACCACAATGCAAACAGTGTGTTGTGACTTTCCCTCATTAATTAACCTGAGGAAAAGGCCTGAGTTCTGCACAGCTTCCATGTACAAGAGCTCTGATGGGATATTCTGATAGTGGTCTCAGTCACCAGTGCCTAAATAGAAATGATGAAGTCAGTTCTCCCCTAATAAGCTGAGAGGAAGAACTCATCCACATCCTGAGGCATTTACAGGGCACAATGGCAGCTCCAGGAAGCAGAAAAGGACCCAGCCCAGCAAGCACAGCACAAACGTGACGTGCTGGGAGCAACCACATTCAGTTCAGTGCAAGGAATGAACTTAGAACATTGGGAACGTTTCAAAACCATCAAGACTTAGAATTTCTAACAGTTGTTTCCTACGGTAGAGAAGCACTGAGGCTGAAGGGCTCCCTAAAGCTCTAGATACAAACAGATGCACAGAAAGGTTACACCATCTGTCCCAGTTTTATTCAGCTCCAGATGCAGGATGTGAGGGATGGGAGGGCTGCTGGCAGGGCCTCAGCCACAGGGGCCAACACAGCAACTGCAGGAGGTGACGAGCAGCACTCCTTGCTAAGAGCCATTTCCCCAAGAAGGTACAAGGAGACAAGATATGGCAGAAAACAAGCAGCATTAGGGGATGGTGTGATACAGCAGGAATAGACACCTGTGTGAGTGCACTGCAGAGAAAAAGCATCCCAGTATTAGCTTGCAGGAAATATCAGGCACGTTTGTTTGCAACCATGGGCACACAAGTCTTTCCTAGCACATCCAGAATGCAAAACTGCCATTTGCTCTCCTTCAAATACTTAGTGAGGCATCAAAATCAAATGAGAGAACAGTCTGCCATTATCACTGTGACTTTCTAAAAGCAGAACAGAGACAGCGCTTGGAATAACTTAAGAAAGAGTAACAATCTGCATTATAAACTTTAACCTTATTTGACTAGCCTGCAAGGATTTCAGAATATACTACAACTGTTAGCAATGATCAACAGAAAATGGAGCTATTTTTCTTCTGCATGAACACTTGATTGACTTCCAGCAAGCATCCTGCACGTACAGACTGAGCACCGCAGAGCTGCCAGCAGCTCAGTGCTTTGGCAAGATTTTGGTAATATGGATAATTTTCTGGAATTTCCCATTAAGACAATGCATCCAGAATTTTTCCTTTTGTCCAAACTTTAACTTCTACAGTTGCAGTATTATTTTCCCCTGAATTGAAATTCAATTAATGAAGGAAATTAAAAAGAAATACCTTCAAAGATATCAGTATCAGAACCAAAGTCAGATCCTGAGCACATTTCAACAAGTTTTGGCACCTTGTTTTTCCTGCAATCTGGTGGAAGGCCGTATGATTTCCTGTGAAACCTGAAGTTGCTTCCTTTGTTTCCTTGGCAATTCTGCTACTCTGAGATGCTGTGCAAGGCCAGTGAGTGCAGCCTGGGATGGAAGCTGTCAGGAAGACAACAGAAACCTTCACAGAGCCAGAACTCCATGGAAATACTTGGTTCTGCATCAGGGCCAACAGGACTGGAAGGCGACCCCTGGAGACTCTGGCAGGAGAGCTGCTCAAAGCAGAAGTGTTTCTTAACCTCCTGAAAGTACTGTGTGGGATGCTGGCTTCCCATAAGAGCAGGAAGGTTTCTGGGGATGCTCAAGTGGTTCACATCCTCTGCAATCCTGGCACTGGATCAGGCTATGCTTCACACATCTCTTTTAACAGAAGGTCAAAATTTGACTTACACTGCTTGCTGAGTATTTAAGAAGGGATGCATTGCAGAAGTCAGACATTGGTGGCCTTCGGATTTCCAAGCAATGAAGAGAAATTGAAGCAGCAGATGGAGGCCAGGAGAAGGTCTGACAAGCTCCGTGGCTGCAGTGACTGTGCAGAATTGAAAGGTGAGACAGGTACATTCAAACATGCAGGTCAACATGAAAGAACAGCCACGGAGCCAAGGGGAGCAGACTGCATGGCAGCTGCTTGATTAATGAGGAATTTACTGGTATTTAAAACCCAGCATATTGGGCCTTATCCTCAAACACTTTGCATCTAAATCTACATGGACCAAAGCCAACTGCTCCTCTGTGGCACAGAACTTCCCCATGCATGTCCTGCATTCCTGCCTGGAACAGCACCTCCAGAAAGGGAAAACCGACTTCAAAGAGAGGGAAAGAACGCTGCTTAATCAAAACATAACTCTGTGGTTTGATAGAAATGCAATTATAATTACATAAGATTATATATATACACTTAATCAGAGTCACTTCGATAAGTCAACTTTTTGAATTAAAGTATTAGAATTCCAATTTTGAGGAGCGGTTAAAAATATCAGCAATGTGAAGTAGTGTCAGAGGTAACAACACAAACGAACTGCCAAGCAGCATTAAGGCACTGACTTATCTATAATGAGCGCTGCCTAAAAACACCCATGTAGCTTCATGAACTTTGATCAATTTAAAGTTACTTCCACTGTAAGAGCTAAAATCACCAGAATACTTGGAGGAAAGATGCCTTAAGCACAGCTGCGAGTGTAGCACTCTTGTTATTAATTGTTACTGAGTTATTTTCCAAACCAACCTGCACAACAAAGTGTCTCAATTTTGCTTTTAATGGTATATAAAACATATATACATGTATCTACTACACTGGGTCACTGGGTTTTTCTTGAGTACATACAATGTTTCCCTACGAAGCTTATGGGCTTCAGATGGATCCTGCAAATACCAAGAGGTATCACAATTACTGTATCAATACATCCCAGGGTCACTGAGAGCCAGCAGCCCATCCCTGCTACTGTTAAATCTCAGGAGCTCAGAACTCAGCTGCAAAAATCGTTCTATGGCAGAACTTCATTGGGAGGCTTATGATGCGCTGCTGATCATTTTCTCAAGCTTGAGCACGTGCAAAAAATTTCCATTTTCTGCAAAGTATGTAATGCACAAATGAAAAGACATTAACACCTGTTTCTCCTTCCTTTTCCATTTCAGTTTCTAACTTCCCCGGGCAGGAACAAGCAGGTTGTGCAGAAAGGATGAGCGCTCACAACATGACGTGGATCAGCTACCCGAGCAAGAGCCTGGCTTCCACCTCCCTGGAAGAAATTGAAGCATTCATAGCTTCACAAAACATCATATCCAGACTTATGCACTGTTACATTGCCTTCTTTGTGCCGACAGGGCTGATAGCTGGCGTGTGCATTTTGGTCATTTTCATAAAGAATTACGTGCAGAACAAAGCCATGGAGCACTTAGACCCGCTTCTCCTACACTTCACCATCAGCAACATCACAATGATTCTGTTGTCATTCACAGTCATCAACAGACCTGACTACACGAGAGTGACCCACCTGGCCTGTAGTGTGCTGTCATTTCTGTTCAACTTCAGTTATTTCAGCTCTCAGCACTCTTTGGTGCTGATGCTTCTCATGCTGTTACTGAAGAGATTTCCACCAAGGACTGCTCTGAGCACAGTAACCCAGCGCCCCATTCTGTGCATTGGATGCGTACTGCTATGTGCCTTCTGCTTGGCTCTGACAGAGGCAGTGCTGGTTGGCACAGAGAACTACCACTTGGAAACAGACTGCCAGCTAGATCCATTATTTGCATGGCCTGAATACGAGATCGTTAAATTCACCCTTGGATTTGGAATCCCATCATTTCTTCAGATACTCTCTTTTATCACCCTCCTTGCTAAAGAAGCCCCTGCTGAAGCTCCAGCCTTACAGCAGCACATCCGTGCTTACCTTGCTGTGTTCATTATAAGCATAACGACATTTATATGTCGTCTATTTTACAACATTATGATTCTCTTCAGGACAACACTGAAATTACAGAAGAGCATTGGAACTCCAAAGGATGAGCTCGTGATGAACATTGCTGAAATAGTACTGTTCTCTGAGAGCTGTGCTAGCCTGCTACTCATCCTCTGTTTGCACAAACCATGCAAGGACAGAATACTTCAAGTCATACGGAGCTGCCGAAGGGCACCCAGCACCCCCAGCCACCTCGACATCCCAGTAACGCCCACAGGCCCTGAAATGATGTCTCAGTAACACCTGCTCTTCTCAGAGCTCTCAATCTACTCCTATGGCTTTTCTTCTTTGTAAAGGACAGTTGTTCTTCCTTTTGATCCCAAACTTGGACTATCACACAGCTAGCAGGACTGATAAACATGTATTTATCTGCTATCTGCAGTGACCTAGCATGTAGAAACATGCAGGACTTGGGGGTCTGTTCTCATGTGCGTGTAAATATTTTTTCATCTCCTTCCTTTGCACTTTACTTCAAAAGCGAGCAGAAAGTATTGCAGCCATAGGAACATGCTTCTGTAATAGAACCAATGCCTTAGTGAGGATGAGCACCAAAACATATCCCAGAGCAACTTGGAACTAAGGTAAAAATCTGCAGCCAAAGCATTTTCTCAGGTTTGCTTCCTCTTTGGACTGGGATTTCTTACCTTACAAGCCACCCATATTTTTGTAACACTGCTTAATTCCAGTAACAACAGCAGTGAAGCAGGGGTTAACAGTCCATTACAATCCCAAAATAGTGATACTGCAAGTCTATTTCACAGCTTGCTTGTACCATGTATGCACACAGAACGGGGTTTTCCTTCCTTTCTTTTCCTGTTTTTCTCTTCTACACTTGCTGGAACCTCCAAGGTTTTTATCTGAATTCTTGCATGCACAAAAAAAAAACAAAAAAACAACAAACCAACAACACAAAACCACTCAAATTAATGGAAACGTTGGTCCATAAAGAACTTTGTGTCCTTTCTGAGGCACTGAACTGGAAAGATGGACAGGATGGCTAATTAAAACTTTGTGCAAGAATGAAAGCTTTTCAGTTAAAGTATGCTCAGCTTCAGCTCCGCATTACGACTTCATGCAATTATTGATCTAAGCCATTCTTGATGAGTTCATTCAGAAGTATGAAGTCGCATGCCTTGAATAATCACATTCCATTACACCTTCACTAAAAAAATGAGAAAAACCAGGCCCAGAACAGTGGAACTGCTTTTAAAAAGGCAAAAAGAAGAAGAGCCCCAGATCCAGGCAGAAATCAAGGCTTTGCTGGAGATAGGAGAGGAACGTTACATATTTTAGATGAGCATTCACAGAGAAATAGTGCAAAATGGAGAAAGAAATCCAAATCTGAGCATCCCACAGCAGCCATGGCACTGCAGCCTATGGAAGCAGCCACTGGTGCAGGCAGAGCCTCAGGTGCAGGGCTGTGATGCTGGCTGTGAGAGCAGCACTGCTGGAACCCAGGTGGGCCCAGAGCCCTTTTACACGTTTGGCTTCAGTCTCAGACTTCCTTCCAGGGAGGAGAGAACAGAAAAAACAAGGAAGGCACGGGGCTGCTCTGCATCTGTGGAGTTGGAGTTGGACTACAAGTTAAAAACAGAAATACAGAGAGGTGATAAGCAGGGCTCAAGTGACCTGAAGGGTCTGTAAGAAAAAACACTCTGATACTTAAACACATGTTTGTGTAGCACTGAAGGCAAAATTTACCTGATTAGACATGGCACCTGGATGCTAAGGGAAGCAAGAGATTTTATAGGAAAAATCTTGGAAAGTTATCTTGGTAAGGTTCAGATCTGTGTGCAGTCAGTGCAAATTGGAAGGGGCTGCCTGAAATACAGCAAAGTGGCACTGATCCACCAACAGGAACACGTTCTGCAAGGATTGCCAAGTGGAAGACTAAAGGACATCTGCCCAAATGTAGCGTGCATAGATCTGGAATGTATTTACATGGCTCTAGTCCTGAAATGCAGTCAGAGTCATGAATTCCAGGACTTCTATCACGTGCAAAGAGAGGGCAATCGTCCCACCATGACCATAAGGACCAACTTTTCCACAAGATGTAAGAATCAACTGGTGACATATCTGCACTGCATTATGTCAGCTTGTTCTCCCACTCAGCTCTGCCCCGCTGCCAGCACCAGCAGATGGATAAATAGGGAACATCACGTAGAAACAGGGCATTAATAGACACTGGTCAGAAAATACGTAGATAAGAATCAGCTCTTCAAATACAAGAGTTAATTATATTGTTGTGAAAGGATTTCTCAGATGACATCTGAAGTTTTGCTTTGCATCCGAGGGAGTTTAAACAACAAGGTCTGAACATCAGCCCTGCAGAGAGGAGCTGTAAGAGCAGCACATCAGTACAGAAAGCTGACAGACTGAGCGAAAGGATGTGTCAGAAGATGTAAGCTGTTTGTTTCAGTTCAGGCAGAGAACATCACACTTTCATGGCTAAGTATGTTATTTTCTAGAAGGGGAATTATGCACAAAGGATTCTACTTCATTCACTGCTGCCATATATTGAAAGGATGAAAGAATAAATATTGTATTGTTTCTGAGTTCTGTGTTACTGTTCAAGGTGCCTGAAAGTAAACCCAGCCAGCAAATGCACAGGACCTGGTTAGAGAACACTGGCTGGGCCCTGGGAACTGGTCTGATGTGAGCAAATCACACCGTCCTGCAGGAGCCTGGAGGCTCAGCACAGGCAGCATGCATGACAGCACTGCAGCATTTGGCTCAAGCAGAACCACGTCAAATATCTCAGAAATAAAGACTGTGGGAGCGACTGACAGAGCTGACAATTGGAAAAGAGCAAGAACCACTGCTGCAGAGCTGTGAGTGCTGGGTACAGCTCCTGCTGCTGTCTGTGTGATGCGAATCGGTGTGCTCTGGTCTCTTCCCTCTCCTCAGCTGCTGCATGGGGACAAAAAGTATTTTCTGCATGGCTGGTTAGATTGTCATAACGTCTACATACAGGAAAAGACCAACTGAAAGGCAGAAAACAAAAGGAATCAGGACAGAAGAGGTTGAAACGTGAAACAAAAATCCAAGCTCTCATTAATATAATTCATAGCAATACAAAAATGTTTTGTTAAATGGTTCTTGATAAAGTTACACAGAATTGCCATTAAAATTCAGGACAATTTACATGTAGTCCTAGAGGAGATCTACTTTTGATTCAACTAGAACATGGGGGTAGATACCTCTATCTGCAATGTGAAATGGACAGAATTAGTCCCAAAAGCCATTATAAAACAGGCAAATTTGTGGTAGAAGAGCAGCTTTGGCTTGGATTAACAGCGATTATTTTTAAATGATTAATAAATTGAAATGTTTTTTTTTTTTTTTTTTAAGAATAAAATTAAATCTGCCTACTCTCTTTTTTTTCTTTTTTTTTCCCATCCATACCAGAAACAGCTTTGCTGCCCACTTTCTTCCAGGCTTCACCCAATTCTGAGCAGTACGTTCCAGAAGAAACACAGCACAGATATTTTTGTAGCCACGCTGTCAAAAATAACTAATGCCATATATTGGAAATTTGAAAGAATGCTTTATTTCTGTTCTGATAGCACACACATCTAAGACCAGCTTAGATGAAAAAAAAAGCCAAAAACCTTCAGTTCCAAAAACTAAGAGAAATGAGCAGGCTGCTGAAGGGTAAGCACGCATTTCTGAGTGGGTAACACGCTGTAAAAAGATTATGTAGAGACTAAAGACTCATCTTTCCCGAACCAGCTGGCTCCAATCTGATCTGGTCCAATTGCAAAACAACATCTGAGCTAAAGAGAGACAGGATTTGCACAGCTGAATCATAACTTGAGCTGCTACACCCCTATTTGTATTGCTAAGGCCAGCCTCCAAAGCATTTGAATTTCAAACTTATAGACCCAGAAAAGGCTCCAGCATCATTTGTGTTGACTTTGAGGTAGCTGCAGGTCGCAGTACGGTGAAAGCTCAAGCAATTTAGCCATAACAAGTCTGCTATGTAACTTTCACGCCATATACTTTGCACAAACAGTTGATTCACTAAATGCCAGGTATGAAAGAATGCGTTTTGCTTCCACAGTACTGTAATCCTTCTTCTCTCATTTAGGATCAGTTAGTGACAACTATGAAATCCTTTCATTTGGACAAGTGGAGAGGCGAAGCACCCAGGAAGGCCTGCCAGACTCAACTGCTGGAGTCGGAAAGGACTGCTGCTTTGTGAATTCTATTTTATCACATTTGGATGGAGACTGGAGTGCTATGATGACATCCTCCACTTTTACATCATGTTGTGGCCCAATTACAGAAAATCTGGATGTGTTTCTCCTCTCTTTGAAGTGTTTTGCAACATACAGTGCCAGAAAAACAAAAAGATTCTACCAAACAGTTTGAATGGTACAAGTGCTGTCCCTGCAAAGGCTGAACTTTAAAAAAATGTATTTTTAGTAAGAAAAATGCGTTCTCAGAATAATTGGCAACTAAAAAGGCTGAACAAACAAACACACTCCAGGCAAGGTTTTCTGCAGGCACAGAACACAATCATTTGTTCCAATCCAAACTATGCTTGATTACGTGCAAGAAAAGTAGCGATCCTGTGACTGGTCAGGATAAAATCCAGAGGTACTGCAGAGGAGGGCAACAGCTCCAGGCAGATGTCACACAGTGGATGGACAAGGTCACAGGTGCTGCTCATGCTAACAGAACGATGAGACAGCCCTGGAGGGGGAGTTCCATCTACACGCACAACTTGAACTTTACAGCAGCATCTGTTCCTCCTCCACTCACCTCCCACTTTGCTCTTCCTCTACTATCACTCCTTTGGTAACAGCAGTCCTATGCTGACGCTTGCTAAATTACCTCCAGCAGCCTATATTATCATATTATCCTCACTCCGAGCCTCTTGGTACAACACAGCACATCACAATCACACCAGTGCTCCTTCAACACAATGCAGAGCCAGATATGTTTATGGAGGCATATACAGCGTTTAAGAAGTTGACTACTACAGATTTAAAAACAACTGCCAGGAAAAACACTAAAGGCTGGATTACTGCAGCAGGACATGGCAGGAAGGCTAACACACCAGTTGCTTCCATGCTTGTTCTCAGCAGCAGTTGCAATAAGGCACAACAGGCAGGGCTGTAACACTGTCACAATTCAGTTCAATATACAGATCACGGAGGCACTCGTTATGAAGTCCTATGGGATATCAGCAAATGAAGGAGGAAAAGGGACTGAGGTATTCAGCAGCTGTTAAAATTTGTTGTAAGCACTTTGTGACCCTTTTCAATGGGGAAGTGCTGAACGGTGAGATTAAGATAGATTAATCAGTAACAATCACTTGATTGCATAAACAAGAGCCTGGAGATGCTGTCATTTGTTTTAGGAAACAAAATTCAGAGAATTCACATGACAGTCTCATAAAATATTTATTTACTGAAACACAGAAGTCACTAATTACAGTGTAATCATATTAGACGTGGCCTCTTCTTATGCTTCATAGCTCTCCTAGCAGGAGAAACAGCTACTTCAGGGCTTTTTCAGAAGGACATTTCCTACCTACACTTGAAGAGTGGCAGAAGGACGTATTTCTTGTCCTAAATTCAAATGAGAAAATCAGCACTGATAACAGCATTACACATTCTGATAGCAAATCAGCTGATGCTCGCAGTTAGAAAACCAGGGGCAGACAAAGCAGCTGATTGCTGGAGCAGGACCCCAACATAACAAACATGAACACCCAGAAGCCACCTCTAGGCATAAAGGGAAACACTGATCCTGCTGGCCCTTACAAGATCAGTGCAAGTTCTGAAGGACAGAATGAAGCAGACGAAACCACATGATCCATGAGCAACAAGAAAGACTCTTTATAATCCTGCTCTTAGAACAGAGGAAAAACAGCCCATCAAAGCTGGTATCACAAGACTTTCCAACACGACAATTACTGCCGTCCTATAACCCAACCACAGCTGTGCACTTCTCAAAGCAAAGCACTCTAAGGCCCTCGGTCCCCATTTCCCCATCAGGAAGACTCCAGAAATCCATCTGTGTGCACATTCTCTTCAGCTAAGCAGTAATGCATTCCCAAACCATCCACAGTCACTGTGCAGGAACAACGACACGACAACTTCATGCCTCTGAATGATAACACTGATTTCTTGGAACCCTGATGCTGAGATCCAATCCATTTTTTTAATAGCAGCTGAACATCGCATCGAAGCACGGCCTGCCCATTAATGACACTTTAAGTTAGCAGATCTGTATCATCTTAAAAAGTGAACCACGCAAAGACAAAATTGCTCTTTCAGGAGAAAAACACATTTCCTTTCAGCCTTCAGAACTGTAGCCACCAGTAGGTGGTGTTTCTGAAATGTCAGAGCACTTCTTCTCCCCTACAGATGAAATGCAAAACTCCACCTGCACTACTGCTGCTTTTCATGCAGGACTCCACGCTCACTGCTGCTCCACGTTCACTGCAAAGAAACCTATTTCATCCGAGGGCCTTTGAGCAGAACGGTTCTACCACGCGTCCAGATGACAACACACACCTGACAATGTAAATATACAGACGACACAGGACTGACTCGCAGGTAGGAAAACGGAAATTTGTAAAGCCAGTTTAGTAAATGACCCTCCTTAGCTGCTACATTTCACTCCATCCAATATTTTCCTCTTAACTGTCCCGGGGGGTTTAAGAATATCTTGTATAACAGAAATTGTTGCTTTGTGTGCGTGTAAAAGCGGCTCAGTTGTGACTTGCAAATGCATTTCTTAATAATTGATCAGCTGAGCTCTAGGTTTGAATACACTGCCCTGCCTGCAAAAATGCTGAAGGCAAAAGGAGAGCCAAAGGAACGGTACGCAAAAGAAAAGTGACAAATAAGAGACAGCAGTTGTGTGAGTAGAAGCAGCAAAAAAGAAACCAGCAGAAACAGGGTTAATTCCAGCCCTATGAGGCTGTTCAGCAGCACTTTGAACACAAATTAGAACAACCCTGGGAATCTATAAAGCTTGTTTTATTACCAAGGACGTGCAGCAAGATCTGCATTTTGCTGTCGTAATCTATCCTTTATTTAAGGCATTTTAAAACAGGACAGACTTTGAAATGATGTTTTCACTGCTGAATTGTCAACAGGTGACATTCCCTGCAGCTCTGCACACCTAAAGGCAAGTTTATCCTGGCACGGCAGTGGAAGTTGACACATCCATTAAGTGAGTACCTGAGCGAGAAGCAGCCTTCTGCTGTCTGCAGGAAAACCAGCTCTGGAAAAATGGAATTAAGGTAAAAATGAAGTGTTTCACAGTCTGGGGTTACCTGTAACGTTTGCAGTAGCTTGGGTTTCAGTGGGCTCTCAGACTTTACTGAAGCCTGAGCACAGGGCTGCCATGCAGAATCAATTGCTTTGACTCACAACTTAACCTTCCTTTTATTTACAGCATTTTACTGCCTTACTCAAAGATAAAAGGGTGTTACATGAAAGACAGTGGTCCGTGCCTCACTGGTATCTGCTTGAAACAAACACCAAACCTTCTTCAAATACATGTAATTTCACATGGATGTTTTAGCATGCAGATTTACCTTATGAAAACGCTTCAAAGCACAGCAACAGTGACAGCGAACTTACAGCTCTCACTGGGAAGTAAAAGCTCTTTTGATTCAAGTATCTGCTGGCTACTTCTAACAAAATGAATACATTGAAGCAAACTGAGGCGTGCCTTTCTGACTACAAATACTGTAAGGCTCCTTCTCCATTCATGGTTTGCTCCTTCTGTGCATCAGCGCTACTTGAAATCATTAAAAGGTGGAACTGAGCGCTAATTTTACCAGTTTTGCTGGTAGGATGGAGGTTAAAGCAATTCAAAATATCTAACGTTTAACACAAGCTACCCTGGGTTACCATTTCCATGCTATTTGTGTAGCATTTTATTTAAATAAACTTCCAGCGATGCTCCGAGTCCACAGCATTCAGCGTTCATAGGAAACAAATAGGATTACCGATGTTTTCATTCCCTTCCAGAAATCAGCGTAGCATAATTAATTGCAAAGAAAAGCAAACTGATGTCGGTGTAAATCCATGTGCTGCTTATACTACCTTCATTTCTAAAGCCTGCATTTCCTTCCCTCTGCAAGCAATAGGAACCAACTGCTGTTCGTCTCCGCTGCTTTCTCAGCCACTCTCCTACTTATTAAGCTTACGAGCTGCTGATGAACTGAACACACACACACACACCATACGCACATGCAATATAAACTTTATATTCATAGACTCACTTCATTAGGCCAAATTCTCCCGTTTGATTTCTGTCTTTCCACATATTCCAACACTGAATGGTTTACGATTTATAACGCCCTACCAGACCTACCCTCACAACACAATATCACCTCCAGCTAACTGCAATCCTTTTAACAGAGCTACTGAACATCCCTTCCTACCCTACACTTCCCACAGCCTCAGCTGCACGCCTGAAGTTAGAAGCAGCACACTGTGCGTGGCACAACGCTGCAGCATGAGATTAACAGTATTCCATTTGCAAATTGCAGGTCCAAGGATGTGCAATGAGTATTAACAGAACACAAATGGAGCTAGAATTCTGCCATCTTCCGACCTGCACGGAGGAGAACTGCTGAAGAAAACCTTTCTTTGAAATGATCCAAGTACCATTATGGTAAAAAGATCCCGACGTGATCTTACAGCGTACAGGAACTGCAAGTGCTCTCATTTGCAATGCATATAGTGTCTTGTAAGAAAACAAGAAAGAAAGAAATGTACTTCTTGTACTGTTGTATTTCAGTCAATTTCAAGTCTAATTAATTTGGCTTCTGAAGAATTTGAATTTCCTATTTATAAGTGCGGGCTTTCTTCCATTCCAAACAAAATGCTTCCGATTCACTGCTTTGAAAACACCCCAAAACCTCATCTTTTTGGCATTACTACCAAACTGTGAGTGCTGTTATCTTTTGTGCATGTATTTTAACCATGGAAACCTACTCTGCCTCAGTCCCACCTGTCATATGTAACAGCACAACTTTCAACCTCAACGGATCGCATCTGTGTAACGAGAGCCTGTCTTCTAGATTAGCAGATAAATCAGAACACCAACAATACGTTATTGGGCTTTTCCTATCGTGTCTTTACACAATATTCCTTTTTCCCATCGGTTTTGTAGGAAACATTCTGATTCTGGTGGTGAACATAAGCTTTCGTGAGAAGATGACTATCCCAGACCTTTACTTCATCAACCTCGCGGTGGCCGACCTCATTTTAGTTGCTGATTCTCTCATTGAGGTTTTTAATCTTGACGAAAAGTATTACGATATCACTATCATATGCACCTTTATGTCTCTGTTCCTTCAGATCAACATGTATAGCAGCATTTTCTTTCTGACGTGGATGAGCTTTGACAGATACATAGCGCTGGCAAAAGTAATGAGGTCCAACCTATTTCGCACTATGCAACACGCCAGGTTGAGCTGTGGTCTCATATGGATGGCATCCATTTCTGCAGCACTGGTGCCATTCACGGCTGTGCACTTACAACACACCGGAGAGGTCTACTTCTGTTTCGCAGACGTAAAAGAAATCCAGTGGCTAGAAATAACCCTGGGGTTTATCATCCCCTTTGTGATCATCGGCCTTTGTTACTCGTTAATCGTTCGAGTCCTTATAAAAGCACACAAGCACAGGAGCCTTCGCCTCCGCCGACAGAAGGCTCTTCGAATGATATTCGTTGTGGTCCTGGTTTTCTTTATCTGCTGGCTCCCTGAAAACGTCTTCATCAGCGTCCAGCTCCTGCAAAAGAAAAGCGAGCCCTCCTCGTCCAGCAGCCCGTCCTTCAGACACGACTACCCTCTCACAGGACACATTGTGAACCTGGCAGCTTTCTCCAACAGCTGTTTGAACCCTTTAATTTACAGTTTCCTAGGGGAAACCTTCAGAGACAAACTGCGGCTGTACATTGAACAGAAAACCAAGATGTCCACGTTACATCGGTTCTGCCAGGCTGCCCTGACGTCTGTCATCCCCGACAGCAATGAGCAATCCGAGGTCTGATTTGGGGCTGTTGTGCAGAACGTCTGACTGTGAAGCTGTGCAAATAGTGAACAAAATGCTTACTACTAACAGCAAGAAGCATGCCTGCCTGTGTATATATTGCACTGCTCTACTGAGCGTGGAAGGTTTATGTTCAGAATGTTTTTATGACAACTTTAATGTAGAGGAATATGCTATAGTCAGATTTATATTTAATTAAGAGCAGGATTATTAAAAGCTGAGCACTGGAGGAGCTTTATTTTATATAATACATGCATGAATGATAATATAGAAGAAAATTTTATCAAGCTAGAAAGACTCCAGATGTAACTTGGTTATTGGAGATGTTGTTTTGCTGGTGTATAGAAGGCACTTCCACTTAAACAACCAAACTGCAGTAAGAGTGGGGAAAAATCATTACAACACATTGATGCGGAGATGCAGAAAACAGTTTGACTTTTACCCACATGTGTTAAGTTAAATGGCTTTGCTTTTGAGAACTATATAGTATTATCATCATTGTATTCCAGCATGTCTTCCACAATTAACTTTTTCTGATCTTAATACAATCTAGAATGGTGATGAGCTTTTGTCTCATAAATCTGATCTGCTGTTTACATCAGCACTTGATCAAAGCTGTAATCATCTGTCACTGTGTGGTTCATCTCAAAGAACTCAACTGCAGTGAAATGTAATGCTGTGCTCTTTTGAGGATTCCCCAGGACAGCATTTCTCAGGATGGACATAAATGGGCTTTTTGTCAAAAATGCAAGCACATATATGTGCATCCATATCTCCCTTCAGACTCAAACAGAAGTCATGTAAGATCTGTCTCCACTTAGCAGACCCATTCAGATGGTAGAACAACATCCTGTGGCTTTAAAGCAGTCACATTCTGCAAGACTGCAAGAATTGCTTACAAAAATGAAAAAGCCTCTTTTTTTCTCTCTCTCTTTTTTTTCTTTTTAAAGAAGAACTTCTGCAAAGGTGAACATATCAGATCTGCACTTGGTGCCCTGCCCACCCCACCCCCAGAAAGCACAGGTCTTGGGACCCTTACAATGCACGTTGGTTGCTCTGTCCATCTGAAGACAAACAATGCTAAGAAAACAAACGTTAGCTAGAAAACAACAGCTTCTAATTTCTTTTAGAAAATAGCTGGCTTTTAAATCTGGATGACGCTTAGTGCAGGTTACTGCTGAACTTCCTCAGAGGAAGCCATAAAGTTCCTAGAGATTTGTGCACAAGGTCATTAAACCGTCACACACTGCAGCTCTGAAATACACAAACTAATTCCACCTCTGTGCTCACCAAGTCGAGCACCAGAACTCCAGAGAATGTGACGATCTGCCCCACTTTCAAACATCACAAATGAGCCAATTAGCACACTAAAGGAGTTTTAAAATGCAGACACTTAAAACCACGAGTAGAGTATTAAGCAACAAAGGAAATGGCGATTGCACTCATATTTCTCACAAAATAGTCAGTCTGCTAGTGAAGCTGCAGCCACAAAAGGTTTGACCTGTGGGCAGAGAGGCCCCAAGATGATGCTGCATTGGAACTAGCTGGATGTTCCTGAAACACTGAAATAGGACAGCACAGAGGAGTTTGCCCAACAGCTGACCACTTCCAAGGGACTGTTAATCATCAGCTAAGGAGAAATTCCCATTTACTCCCATCTTTCTGGTAGAGCACTAATTATATTTTCTCTTGGAAACATACAAGCACTGCCATGCCTTCTCTGTACAGAAGCTTCTTGACAACACAGAGCAGCAAATCTCATGCTGCTCCAAATGATACATACGTCCATTTTCCCTCATTAATTTCACCTTGGGAATTAACAACAATCATCCCAGTCCCACACAGACACCCCTGTGACAGACAGCTCTTTCAAACAGCACAAAGGAACAGATCACACTTGCAGCAATGCATTTCCATCGAGCCCCAGCACAGCATACCAGCTGTGGGTAATCCCAGCACTTTCCACGAATAAACCAACTTCTCTGAGGTTGCAGCAGTACAGCTTCCCAAACAGAATTCCTCCATCCAACATCCCATTATACAGCTAAAAGCACACTGCACACCTGAGCTACCAGAGGAGCTTCCTGCTGCTGGTATTTCGGTTCAGGTTTACGAGCTGTACCTGAAATGACTAAATTTAAACATGCTATTGTAAATAAATGACAAGTGTTGTCCCAGGTGAAAAAATGACACCTCTTCACAGAAGCTCGTGGTGTTTTTTTCCTCTAACGTGTAATTTAATCACACAAAGTTGCTTTCACTGCTTCCTTTCAACAGTTTGACATTTACTACATGGTGATTGTGCAGGCATGAAAAGCAGAGACGGTCAGTCTTGAGATGAAGTTTGTTTAATTTGTGAAAAGCATTGATGATGTGAATGTGGCAAGGAATTGGAGTCAGTGGGTCAAACAACCCCAGCTCCTGCATGGGACAGACGAGATGCAGAGAATAACAGCCCCTTCCTTTCCCCTTCTGGTCCACACAAAAACCAAAGGCTCGCATCCAAAAATGCTTCACCCATCCATTCCAAAAGGGAACAGCTGCTACAGAGCAAATTCAGGAAGCAAAAAGCAGAAATCTTGAAACACAATTGTCTTCAACATTGCTTCTATCAACTGGAAAAAATACCACCTCTCCTTACAAATTGCCCTAATGTCACCAATTGCTGTACTTCATCAGCTGTTCATTAAGACTGCAAAAGGGAGGAGGTTACCTGGACAACTCAGAGCGGTTAGGACTGTTGCTTTCTGTGTCAAAATGTGGTTTACAGGGGGTGAAAGTACACAGAATTCAACCTTGAGCATGATTTAATTCCATTTGAACTTGTTTCTACACAAAAAGGAAAAACATGCACACACAGAAGGCAGGTTTGAATGTTAACAGCTATTCATGAAAACGGATCAATGAATTTACTTCATTTTGCTTGAAAACAGGGGTGTGATTTGAATTGAGGGGACTCTGCCCTTCCCTTCCGATCCAAAAGCCTCTCCCCCCTCATTCAGAACACTGCACAAATGTTTGGGACTTCCAACACAGAAGAGCACAGAGCTAAATTCATGGCTGAATTCAATCAATCAAATTATCTCTTTGCAACAAGTTTACTCTCATGTTACCAATTACTCTTACAGCAGCCCATCACTACACAGCCAGACACAGACATTTCTCGTTCAGACTGTTTAGATTAAGCTATTATTATTATTATTACATTCTGTTTATTAAGCACGTCTCCAATAAACATTTCCACCTCAGAAATGCATTTTATCTTCTTTTTTTTTTGTCTTAATGTTTCATCTGCAGAAACATATGATAGGGAACAAGGCATTTTTAAGACGTGTACACAGACAACCTTGCCTGTACTCTCAAACTCTGCTGTCAGAGAGGTTCACAGTGATAGGCAGTGACCTGTGCCATGAGCTGCATCTTACAGACACACATCGGATTTGAAAATCTGAGCACCCCCCATTCATGTTTATAATTCTGATGTCTTCCCTACCATTGGAAAAAATGGTATTTTCCAAACTATTTATTCTCCACTGACATACAATACATGGAAGTTTTAGCCCTTGCCTTTTAGCTTCCATTCCACCACACAGCAGTGTGATGCAGCCAGGAGCCAAGAAGGAGCAGCTGCAGATTGAGCCAGCCACCCAAGCTGACAACAAGAAAGCAGTGCCTTCTCAGGACCTCAGGCCCTGCAGGATCAGCTCGCTGCCTTTCACTCAGCATCTCGCGTGCTGCCTTGGTTATTTACATCACACAGCTCATCCCACTGCAACAGATCCAGAGATGCTTGTCTCAGCCTCATCAAGTAGCCTGTGTGTTTAGGAAGGATTCAAAGTCACTTAACTCCAGTGATAAAACCAAGGCAAGTTTTCAACCTGCTTTTCCAAATCCCTCAAGCACTGTCTCCCACAAACATACACAGAAATTTGTAAGTTCTAACTTCACAAACTACTGAGTTATTCACTATAAAAAAAACCATCCCTACATTTTTAAATGCACATACCCTAAGTAAGGATGTAATGCAGCAGGATAAGCTATTCAAAGGCAATGACTCTGTTTAGAAATCTCCATGCTTGACCTGCAAGCAAAATCATTCCAAAGGCTTAAAATCCTCTCAAACTGCACAACATGTTTTCTGGAAGGACTTCAGCAACACTCTGTAACAAAGACATAATAGAGAAACAGGACAAATGTTGGGGTACTGTTAAATTAGCCCTAGCAATGGCATGAAGGCTATTCTGACAGGAGTTCACTGGTTGTCTAATAGCAGCAGAGATGGATGCCTTCTGCCTCAACCACAGCAACATTTCCGTTACTGGATATTCTCTCAATAGAAACAGAAATATAATGGCAAATGAGATTTTCTTCTATTCATTCTCTTCCACTCAGAACTGAAGAGAAATAGCCTTACCTGACTGCAGCAACTGTTTAACTCTTGTGTGCCACTATTCAGTTACAAGTGCAAATGGGGAGAAACCCAAGAAAGACCTCTCACAGTGCTGTCCCATGCTCCAAACATCAACCTGTGGGTTGGCCAAGACAGAAAGGAGATGCAAAGAGCGATACCTGCAAGAACTTAATTTAGAAGCTTTCTTGGCTTTCAAAGACAGGAGTGCAGAAGAATTACTTCTGACATCAATAAAAGCTGAACACTCTCAGAACAGCAAGACAAGCGACAAGCTATTTCCTTATGGTGGTGCAGGAGAGGTGGGGATGTGGCACTGCAGAGGTGATCCACGGATCACAAGCGCAGAGCTGCAGGCTGGGAGCTGCTGACACTGACAGCAGATGGCACAGAAGCTAAGCATGTGCTCAGCCCACAACAGGGACTGCGGGAGCATCCTTGGCAATCCTGCCCCTGGTTCCTGAGTCTTCTGCTCCACTCAACATCCCCTGCTACAGGGTAAAGCCTTTCAGCTCTCGGCCAGAAGGTGCTCCTGTATGACCAACAGGTTTGGGACAGCTGGCCATTGCTATTGTAAGCCCAAACTAGAGCATGACTTAATCCAGACCACTCTTTGTAAAGAAGGAAATACATTTTAAATGAAGATAGTTCACTAACCCTAACTGTGATATAAGAACACATGGTTATTAAAATAAAGCCTTCAGAATATGAAACACAAATTGCTTAAATTTATTATTAGCTATGTCGGAATGTAAAGGTAGAATAGAATGACAGTTATTAAAAACATGCATCTTCCTTGCATGCTGTCATATAAACTCCATGCTCCATTTCAGGTGATGCAGCTCTAACTCTTCAGCACGTTGTCTGAATGGCTCTGAGGTGCTTCAAACACAAAGGGTGTAGGGGCAGAGCTCTCCATCTTCCCCTGTGTGCATTTGCTGTTTGCAAAGCCTGCCTCACAGATGCAAATTATTAAGATAATGCTGAAAATTCAATAAAACATCGTATGATGATCATCTGCTTCATGTCCTACAGAACTCTAGTGGGATTCAATTAGAAGTAGGGAAATGCATTCAAAGGCAGGGTCTGGTTCTTTAGGTAAGAGGCTCTCCTGTCAAATACCTTCATGCTTGTACACGCAACACTTCAGGCAGCTTCTACAAGTCTAAAGATTAATTTTCTGTTCTAATTACTTGTTGGATGTAACACAGGCATCTTATAAGAATTTATTCATCTACATGGCTTTGATCTACTACACAAGAGCCATGTTATCTATACTGTGATTTATCAATTAACATATACAAACATACACTGCTCTTTCGCATGGCTCTCAATATTGCCTCTAAATGCAAAGGGGATTTTGGAGAAGGAAAACCCTGGTGAAATAACGCCAGTTCCTCATCCATACTGCAGAAGCAGCCATGCTGCCCCTATCTACTCAGAAAGGCTTTGTGTTGTATAATAGATTCCATCAAATAATTAGTATTTCATAAAAATCCTCGTTATGCCCATTTGGTTTTCAAAAGCAGCAGCATTCTGTCAAGGACTGAGAAAGCTGCTGATTTTCACACTGACCTTACTTTAAACATTCAAGTCTGCGCCTTTTTTTCTTTTTTAGATAAATTAACATTTATAAAACTGTACCCAGGAGCAATCAAGAGGAAGGAGCACATCCACGGGATTCAGCCTGCAGTCCTGTTACAGTACACACACTCCATGCCCCCAGCCCTATCAAGAGCAATACGTAGCAAACATTCATCCTCTCAAGCTTACAGCGTAACTTCTTGCCAAGTAGAATGTTTTGAGAACTCACACATATAATCAGATGCATTTTATTTCTGAAGATTGGGGCCTAATTTTTGATATTAGGTAATTCGGGCCTTTTCTAGCAGTTTCCAGTCATCTTGCCTCTATGATGAGCTAGAACCAGAAACAGAGAATGAGCAAACAAAACCACAGTTGACAAAGGCACAACAGCAGCGTTCTCCATTGAGTGGAGCTGGGTGGCATACACTCACTATCACCTGCCCCAGCTCCTGACCTCAGCGATTCTCAGCATCCACAAAAGCTTCAGCCATCAGTGGGAACCCTGCCCTGAGCTCCAGTTTCCTGAAAATATGTGCAGCTAAGTCATGAAAGCAAGGATTTATATTGGAAGCCTAGCAAGAACAGTCAAGGAAAGTTCTCACCACTGAGTAAAGAGCGAGCGGAAAGGAAACGTCAGTTGTGCTCCAAGAAGAGAAAGAATTTCCCCTCTTGATGGCAAACCAGGAACGGTTGTGTTTCCACCCCTGAACTCTCATCACCTCAATCTCTGGGCATGAAGAAAAGTAAAGAACTACATTTGGACGTATACAGATTAATGCAAATACCCAGAGTGAGCACAGCACTTTTGCTGGTTAATAAGGGCTGAAAAATGCCCAATTCCTTTAAACCAAAGTAAGAAATGCACCACGCGTTGTTTATCCCAAACACAGTTGGGGACGTGAGCCTTTCGCCTGGGAAAACCATCTTCAAAGCAGCAACTGTTTTCCCAGCTGTGAACACTCTTTCCTGGGAAATCGACTCGTACCATTACAAAAATAATTTTCAAAGGAATGTGAAATTATTCTGCCTAATCTATGCATATCCGTATGTCAGACGTTATTTTGTACCTTCTTAGACATGTTTGTTTACAGAAGGCCTCGCGTTCCCTACAAACACGATGTGGTGTGACAAAAAAATTCACTTCTTTTAAAAGATAAATAAACACGTGGTTAATTCAATCAAATAATTTGTACCAACTCTACCAATATTCTAAGAAAGAAGTGTTAGCAGGAAACACAGAGCTCTGTCCCATAAGCAGCTGCCCTCTGAGTTTGTTTTTTTATTCCCTTTCCCCTAATTTGAATAATATCGCATAGATATTAAGAAAGCAGACAAAACACGTAGGATCCCACACAGCAAGTCACAAATGGGGTCCTGGTTTGGTAATTGCTTTCAGCCATCACAGGGCTGTCCTGTGGAGCAGCAGTCAGAAGCTCAGGGCCAGCAGGGAGACCTTGGAGCAAGGCAGAGAATGACTGACACCAGTAACAGCAACCAGCAGGAAGGAGAGAGAATGGGCCCAACGTCTCCATTGCAGGCTGGCCAAGACCAGCAGGCTAACGAAAGTTCATTAACATCCCTACTGACATTTAGGTTTGCGTTGAGAAGGAGCTATCTTCCTCTCCTTATCACCAGAAAGAGAGATTAATTCACCAGAGTTATCCCTCCCAACAAAACAACTGCTGGTGCACCCCTGCGTCGAGGCAGGGATGAAAGATTGTGTCATCTTCTCTTCATAACACACACAGCTCTATTTGCACATTAGAAATGCAAGCTGTGTAGTCAGAAAACACTACAAGATCCTCACTTTAGCTAAAAATATATATTCAGTAATCTATTTTCCTTTTATTTTTTTCCCCAATGTGGAAGACCAGTTCTCTAAATATCTCTTTAAAATGACCACATGGATAACATTAAGCACAGCACGTGGGATTAAGTTAGTAAAGCAAAACTGTACAAATGCAGGAGGACCTGCACTGAGGTGCAACTTCACAACGCAGCTCAGGGTGAAAAATGCAGCTTATTTTGGTGGTTACGCAAAAGGCTTCACATCATCCAAAATGAACCAATAAATAAAGTAACAAGACAGGACTCATAGACTCCGTCTGCAAACCATCCGCAGCTCTTTATTCCAGCAACAGGCTTTAGTATGAATCAGTGGGCTGCCAAAGAAAGAAATACACTTTCTGATGAGAGCTTTACATTATCTGCTTGATGGATCTCACGCCACAAACATCTGGTTTGCATTCATTAACCATTCCTGTTACTCC